ACCGCCCCGGCCCTGCCCAACGCGCCACCGCCTTTTCCGCCCAGCGCCCCCGCGCGCGCCCCGCGGCCGCCGACCCCGTCCGCGCGCCCGCCCGCCCCGCAGGTCGCACCTGAACTTCGCGGACGAGACCCCCGACCCGAGCGCGATCGGCTCGAAGACGGCGCTGCGGCGCCTGATGAGTTCCGAGTTCGACACCTACCGCTGCAAGCACTACGTCAAGTGCCCCGCGAGCGTGATCACGAGCAACGCGAACGGCAGCGGGAGCAACAACAACAGCTCGTCGACGCTGCCCGGCAGCCCCGTGCTGGCGCCCGGCGCGGCGTCGGCGGGCGCGGGCAGCGCGGGCGGGCGGCGGCCGCGCGCCGGGTCGGCGAACCGCGCGGAGAACTCCGGGTCGGACAACACGCTGCCGTCGCTGCCCGTCGCCGCGCGCAACGCCGGGTCGTGGCAGCCGGACGCCGCCGCGCCCCCGCCGGCGTGGCTGCACCACGCCGCCCCCAAGCGCAGCTCCGCGACGGCCAACAACGGCGCGCGGCGCGGCAACCACCGCGGCCGCGACGGCGACGAGATGATGGAGGCCGTCGCCGGCCTGGTCGAGCTCGGCGGCGTGTTCGACGACGACGACGAGCCCCCCCGGCCGCAGCCCGCCGCCGTGGCGCCGCGCCCCCGGCCCACGCGCCGCGCGTGTCCGGCGGCGTCAAGCGCGAGTCGACGGGCGCGCCCGACGAGTGGGTCGCCCCGCAGGGCGCCATGACGCTCCACCTCGGCAGCGGGCCCACGGGGCCGCGGTACACGGACGGCGCGCTCGACGGCGCGTGGAAGAGCCCCGCGTCGCTCGCGTGGGCCGCGGGGTGCAAGCGCCGCCGCCGCACCGGAGCGGCCTCGCTGGACGAGACCGCGCCGCGCGCGCCCGCCGGCGGCCAGGCCGCCGCGTCGCCGCAGCAGGTGTCGGTGCTGGCGCCGTCGTCGCCGTCGTCGGGGCTGACGCCGCCGGCGGCGGGGTCGCCCGCGTCCACGGCGTTCCCCGCCGCGCTGCTGCAGCAGACGCTCGCGGCGCCCTCGCAGCACGACGCGCACGCGCTCCAGCGGGCCATGCTTGCGCACAGCGGGCCGGGGGGCACGGGCGCGGCGCTGAGCCACCTCCGCAGCATCCTGCAGGCGCTCAGCGCGCAGGCGGAGGGCCAGCCGCAGCACGCCCCCGGCGCCTGGACCTCGGTGCCGGCCTCGCCGCGCCCGTCGACTGACCAGGGCGCGCGGCCCGCGCCCCACAGCATCCTCCAGGGGCTCGCGTCCCTCGGGCTGGACTGGGCGTCCGCCGAGCGCCAGGCCGCGTCGCAGCTCTAGGGGACGGCGGCCTCACCCGTCGCGGCGCGCCCCCCTCGGGCTGCTCCGCACGCGGCCGCCGCCCCATGGGGTGGGGCCGCGGAGCACTTCTGCTGCGGCGCACCTAGCTCGGCCGCGACGCGCAAGCAAAGTTTTCGAACCAACCCAGGCCCCGACGAACTACGATCGCGCGCCGCTGATGTGTCGTGCCTGACACGCAGCGGCCAGGGGGACTTTTCACAACGCAACCCCCGAACAGCCGACCCGCGAGGCAGATGGATCCGCCCGATCTCAGCTGCCTCCCGGCCGCGCTGTGGGCCCGCGCACGACGCCACGTTCGTCCCCATTGACGCGAAACGACACTTGGCAGCTGACCACCACCACCGGGGCCCCACACATGTGGACTCGCCCTCTCAAGCGGCTCCACCACATCCTCCCCGATGATCCCCCGCCATCTGCCCCCTCCTCCCACCCCCCTCTCGAATCGAACCCCCCCCTCTCGAGTCGAACCCCCCTCTCTCGAATCGAACTCCCCCCCCCCTCTTCGAAAACGCAACCAAATCGTGTCCTGACGACCCCCCCCTCCCCACCCCCCGGCCCTCTAGGGTGGAGAATCGGGGCCACAGTCAAGGGAAATGGTGCTTCCAAATCCCTGTTCCCGGACAGCACGCCACTGTCCCCCCCCCCCGCCCCACGCACGCTCCCCAACCCCCCTCGAGGCCCAGAACGTTTCCGGGTCACCTGGATACGCCGAACTCCTCGTTGGGTGCACTGACTTGACCGTCGAAAAGCATGCCCCCCGTCCCCCGACTCGAGATGAGTCCTCGTGCGTCGCTTTCAACTACCCCAACTCGCTTGAGCCACTCCCCCGTGTCAAGGCCCTCCAACAACCACCTCGGCACCGACCATCGCGGCAGGGTGCGAGCGAACGCACCGGCGCAAGCCATCGGCGTCGGAAAAGCCTGCACCGACCTCCCGAGTCGGTTGCCAGCAACACGATGCTCCCCTCCGAACGAGGCCTCCGACAGGGCCCCCCGCGACCGCAGATGCACGGCATCTCCCCGCACGGCACTTGCCGACGTGTCACGACGTTCCCCACCTGCCCGCACTCCTGCACGATATCTGCACAGTGCATTTTGCATGCTCCTCAATGCCAAGTTTTCAACGCAAGGGTCGTGTCACGTGCACCCTGGACCGGCGCCCTGTCCCGCCGCGTTTCTGCACCTAGCCCGACCCGCACGATCAGAAGTGCATCCAAACGGCGGGGAACCCCACCCCGCCGTGTCGTTCATCTGCCGCTACCCGTGCCGCCCATCGCTCGCACGGTGAGCGCAAGCCCCTCGCGAACGGCCGACGCCGTGCGCACGCGGGTGCTGCGCCGCCGTCGTCCTTGATGCCGTCGGTGACGTCAGGTCGGTGAGACACCCAGCCAGTGGTGTGCCCCATCGGCCGCAGATGGTCACTAGCGGTCCGCGCCACGCGATGCACGCCGCGGCGCGAACCTCATGGCAACATGTCGTTCCTGCCACGGCGTGCAGCGCGTGACGCAAAGGACCCCTTCCCTACACTTCCCCCCCCCCTTCCAAAAGGACCCCCTCTTCTTTCTCCCCTCCCCTTATCTCAGGAACAGCGCGCTGCACCGGCGCCGCTCGTTCGCCTCCGCCTCCATTTCGCCCTTCGCTCCATGACGAAGTGACGTACGTACGAGATATCTGCGTTCCACCGCCAACCATGTTGGCGGTTGGCTGCGCCCCCAGGCACCCCTGCGCCGCTCGACGGTGACGCGGGGCGGAGACGGCCGCCTCGCGGGTCGCCCCTGGCCGCGGCCCCCCTTCTCAGTGGGTGCACGTTTGTCCACGTCCACCTCAGCCCGGCGCCGCTACACGCGCGCGGGCCCCCCTGATGACGATCTTTGCAAGCCCCCCTTACATCCAGGCTCGTTTCCCAGCCCGGCGCCTCGCGTCGGCCCCTCCCTAGGCCCATGTCTTTGCTTGCGCGGTTCCTGAGCGTGATAGAAACGCGGAGGACTGGTGTTTGCGCTGTCGGATCAGATCAGCCAGATGTCCCCCCCCGATGTCGGTTCTCGATGTCGCCCACTGTCGATACTGCAAGGCGTCCATCTTACCTCTTCCTGACCCTGTTCCTACGGTGCACCTACCTTCGCCCTCGCCTGTAGTCTGACCCCGTCTCCTAGCCTGCCCACCTCGCTCATGGACAACGTACTCCTACGACGCGCAACGGGGACGCATGTGTGGCACAAGCTCGGCCCATGCAACACACCTCAGGATGCCCCTGCTCTTGCCCAGCCGCCCCCATGTAGCATCCCCGCTCAGCCTATGACTTGTGTATGTGACATCCAAGTCTCATGCAAGTCCCAGACTATCACTGTCCGGTCCGTGGCTGTGGCCTGCCCCCTCGCGGCGAGGATGGGCGTGTCGGTCAGCGAAGTACAAGGATTGCCTGCTGGATTGTCGGTTCCGTGACTGTCCGCGCGATCGGTGCCCCCCTGGTCGCGCCGACAGGAACTTGCACGCCATGGACGCGGGCAACGGCCTCGCACGGGGTCGGTGAGGTGTGGACCCGCACCGGAAGGGCCGTGTCATCCGCGGCAGGGCGGCAGGGCGGAAGCGGGCGTAGACATGCGCGTCCACGGGCGTGCGCATGCCGCCGAGCTTGCGGCGCAACAGGAGGCAACGAGAGTTACAGGGCAGGCCGCGCGGACGCGAGCAGCGAGCGGCGAGCGCGCCTCTGCGGGTGCACCCTCCGGTGTTCCGTCGCGGGCGGCGCCGCGTCGCCCCGTCGGCGGCAAAACAATGAGTCAGTCGATCTTCTTGGAGGCCAGGCCCGGGTACTTGATGGCCCCGACCTTGGACCCGCCGAGCAGCTTGGACGCCAGGCCGAGGATGGGCATCGACGCCAGCACGTACGACGCGTACTTCCAGGCGTCCTGCGCCGCCGGCACGACCAGGCCGAGAGCGTAGGCGCTGCCCACGACCATGGCGGAGAACACGGCGATCGTCAGCAGGGTGACCAGGACCTGGAGGAGCTTCATCGAAGGCAGGTAGTCGAAGCCGTCGGGGCTCGGGATCTGCACAGCGCAGACGCGCAGCGGGAACCGGCAGTGAGCCGCGGGCGCTTGCCGACAGCGTGCCGAGCGTGCGCGCCACGTGCACGCGCACGCACGCACGCAATGTTCGTCGCCCTGACACGCGGAGCCGGCCCTGCGCGCAACGACGCCGGGTGCAGCACGCGCACGGCCGCCGCCGCGCCCACATGCACACGCACCGTGAGGTCCTCGAGCTTCTCGGGCTCCGCGGCGGCCTTGTAGACCTCGGCCCACTCCTTGTCCCACACGCGCTGCACCTCCTCCATGAACCCGTCGAAATCGTCCTTGTACCTCTTCGACTCGATGACCTCGCTGAAGCCGGTGCAGCACGTGACGCCGAACTTGACGGCCATCTTCTTCTCCGAGAGCACGCGCTCCTTGTTCGTCGTGACGATGATCTGGAACGGCAGCCCGCGCGACCACGAGTACTTGAGCATGCCGCGCTTGAGGGGCAGCGCGTGCGGCTTGGTGTTGCGCGTGCCCTCGGGGTACAGCAGGAGCGACCCGCTGTTGACCTGGCGGTCCAGGGTCTTGTCCAGCCACGCGTTGAACGCGTCCTTGTCCCTGCGACGCGCGCACACACACGCCAGGGCACGTGGGGCCGTGCGCGCGTCTGGCTGTCGCGGAGGCACGAATCCGCCCGGGAACGCGCTGAGCGGGCAGTGATGCGCGGCGAGGGCGGGGAGGGGAGGCCGGCGGGATCGCGCACTTGATCTTGCCGCGCTTGAAGAGCACGATGCCGCGCAGGACGATGACCGAGGCCATGAAGACCGGGAACGCGAAGAAGACCATCCAGCGCGACATGATGCTGCAGCGGGCCTCCGTCGTCCACACGTCGAGGAAGAAGTCCGCCCAGCTGCGGTGGTTGGCCAGGTAGACCATACGCTCACCCTTGTGCAGCCGCCGCTGACCGACCTGCACGGTGATAGCGGGAGCGCGCGCAAGAATCTCGCACGATTGGTGAGCGAGGTCGCCGGAACGGCGAGTTCGGGGTGTCGTCACGCGCCAGGACGGCGCCGCGGGCCCCCGCGACCGCGGGCTGCATCGCTCACTTCGCGGTGTGCGGACGAAGGGTCGACAATGCGCGCGAGGAACCGACGCGGAGCCGTAGCGGCGTGAGCCGGGCAGGCGCGCGGCTGCAGCGTCACGGCGCGCCGGGCACGTCCCAGCGACGACGGTGTGCCGTGCCTCAACGCACAGAGGTGGCCGGCATTGTGCCCCAGGCGACTCAACGCTCAGCTGGGTCTCTGCGATGTTCTGTTCGCATCTCTGATTGGCTGGGCGCGGCGCGTTCGGGCGGTCTCGGCCCCCGCGCGCGCAGTGCGGGCCGCATCCAGAGAGCAGGGTCGCGGCCAGGCACGAGGTGGGCGTCGGGCGTGCGCGCGGCTCACCAGCTTGAACCTGACGCCGAGGAAGGCCCGCATCATCTCTGCCCACTCGAGCATGTCGTTCCGGGGCCCGAAGACGTTCAGGAAGCGGATCCGGTACAGCAGCGCCCCGATGGGCAGGCTCCAGTACATCACCGCGACGGCGAGCGGGAAGGCCAGGTTCATCGTTGCGACGCGGCCCGCTCCCGGCGCGGGGCTGCTGCGCTCTGGGGAGCTCGCGGGGAAACCGGGTCTGTCGACCGTGGGAACGGGCCTGCACGCGGCGTTGAGTGCGACGGAGCAACACTCGCGCGGCACGGAGCACAGGCGCGGCGAACTCACACAAGGCAGCGCGGACCACGATACTCGCGTGACGACGGATGCATCGCGCCGATGGGGGCGGCGAGAGGACCTCCCGCGTCGGCTCGGCCCCCCACATCCCCTGGGCCACTGGTCAGGCCGCGCGGACGGGCGCGAGGGCGGCCCGCGCGCGACGAGGGGCGCCGCGGCGGGCGCCAGGGGCACACTTGGCCCGAGCGAGGTGCCGCGCGCGACCCACGCGAGCGCCGTGCAGGAGCGCAAAAAGGCGCCGGCACACGCTTGTCCGCCACGAGCACGTCCCTGCGTTGCCCAGGGGGAAACGTGGCGCCGTACTCAGGTGCATCGTCCTCGATCGGCGCGCCCGGGCCGCGATGGTGAGCGAGCCCGTTTCGCGGCCCCCCGTCCTGGTGCCCAACTGCACAGGGAGCGTCGAGCTCCTGTCGCGGACGCGCTCCGGATCAGCCGCACTCCGTGGCGCGTCTTCCATGTCTACACTGCAAGCATGGCTTTCTGCGCCACGAACACCGTTGCGGCCCGCGCCTCAGGTCACGGAGGGCGCGTAACCGCCCAGCGCACACCGGGGTTCCGTTGCAGGCCCAGGGCGCCGCAGAACCGCAAGCGAAGCCCGTCGCGACGGCAACTGATACCGTTCATCCCCCTCCTGGCCCCGGACGCCCACGGGCGCGTCCAGGGGGCAAGCGGCGAAAGGCCAAGCCGGCCGGCACAGTCCCGCACGCCTCGGCGGGCCCCACGAGGGACGCCCCGAGCAAGCAGCCCCGCGTGGACGAACCCCCACCCGCCGCCGTGTCCTGCCCGCACTGCGGGGACTTCCACGCCAGCGGACCGGGGGCGGTGGCGCAGGTCTGCGCGCACGTCAAGAACGTGCACCAGATCCCGTTCACGTGCGGGCGCTGCCTGAAGGTACGGCTCTTCCTCGCCCGCGCTCGCGCCGCTGAGGGTCGCCCCGGCGTCCCAGGCTGGAGGAAACGCGCGCGAGCGTGCGCCGTGGGTGCTGCCGCAGGGGTTCAACAGCAAGGCCGCGGCGACGGCGCACAAGAAGAAGTGCGCGGCGAAAGATGCGCGCATGCTCCCGCAGGTGGCGCCGCCGGCTCCCTCGAAGGGCCAGCGGCGCCCCGCGGCCCGCTGCCTGCTCGTGAGCCTCGTTGTCGACGACTACGTGATGGTCGCGATCGTGGTCGACGCGGACGCGCCCGCCGCGTCTCGTGGGGGAGCTGCGAGCGACGTGCTGCCGTGTCCGCGCTGCGCGGACTTCCGGGGCAAGGGACCGGGGGCGGCGGCGCAGGTCTGCGCGCACATGAGGCGGACGCACGGGGTCGCGTTTGCGTGCGGGAACTGCCTGGAGGTGAGTGCGCGGGAGGGGCGATCGATGCGAGCGCCGTGCGTGGCCTGGTGCCTGCGTTGCGCGGAGCATGTGCGCGCTGGCGAGAGCGAGGCCTGCGACGGTGTTTGCGGACGCAGGGCTTCGAGAGCAAGGCTGCGGTCGCGGCGCACAAGAAGACGTGCGCCGCGAAGACGCCGCGTGAGGCCGCACCAGCGCCGGCGGCGCCGCAGGCCAAGCAGGCAGAGCCAGTGTTCGAGTCGGAGCTCGCTGTGCGCGGTGGCCTGCCGGGCTGGGACGCGGGTGGTGATGAGGTCGTGTGCCCGCACTGCGTGACGGAACGAAGCAGATTCGTGCGCAGGGGCCCGCTCGCAGCATCGCAAGTGCGCGCGCACATCCGGGGCGTCCACAAGCGCCCGTTCGTCTGCATGCGCTGCATGGAGGTGAGGCCGCGCCAGAAGCACGCCTCCGCCTGGTCGCTCGCGCGCCGCTGATGTACACTGCTTCGAGCTGCGAGGGGGACGTGCGGCGCGATTGCAGGGTTTCAAAAAAAAGGGGGCGTTGGCACAACACTTACAGAAGGAGGCATGCGGCGCGAGGGCGCAAGTCGCGAGCGCCGCGCCGGCAGCGGCCCCTGCGGGCCAGAAGACTGCGAAGGCGGACAAGAGCAAGCGCCGCACGGCGGCGCCCTGCCTTGTGCGCACGCTCGTGGTCGAAGACGGGTACGTGATCCCGGTGCTGATCGTCGACGAGGCGCGGGGCGGCGCCGGGGTGCGTGGCAGACCAGGCAAGGGCGGATCCGGGATCGCGAAGGTCGCGTGCCCGCACTGCGACGACTTCGCCGGCGCAGTGGCCAACGTCTGTGCGCACATGAAGGCGGTGCACGGGGTCGCGTTCGTCTGCGGGCTCTGCCTCAAGGTGAGTGCGATGGCGTCGGAGCGCGGGACGCGCGCGTCCTGGCCGGTCTCGTCCCACGTGTGCCTACCGAACGCTCCTAGAATGTCCACAAGCCAAGTCATGTGTCTCTGTCAACGTCGGCGCATGATGCAGGGCTTCGCCACGAAGGGTGCGATCAAGGCCCACAAGAAGCAGGGGTGCGCCGCCAGTCCAGCGTCGCAGACTGCACCGTCGGGGAGCGCAGCGGCGACGGGTGCTGCGCGGGCGCCCGCGGATGAAACGCCTGCGCCCGTGCCCGAGGAGGGCGCAGCCGGCGCACGTGGCAGCGCGGCCAAGCTCGCCGCCAAGCGCGACGTCGCCGCCCCCGACCCGATCGCCTGCCCGCGCTGCGACGACTTCACCGGCCGAGGTCCACGCGCGGTTGCAGAAGTCTGTCTGCACATGAAGCGCGTGCACGGCATCCCGTTCCAGATGTGTGGGCGCTGTTTCGAGGTGAGACTGCGTACGACCATCGTTCCCCGCGTCGTCCGTGCCAGTGCAGTTGACGCGCGCTGAGAGTGCAACCTCACGTCTTTCTGCAACGGCGGTGCAGGGCTTTGAAGACAGGGCGGCGGCAAAGTTGCACAAGAAGCGATGCAACGCCGCGCCGGGGCGGGGCGGCGCACCACGCGTCCCGCGAGCGCCAACGCCGACGGCCCCTGCGCCCGCAGCCGCCCGACCGCCCGAGCCGGCGACGCCTCCGCAAGCCCCCGCTACCAAAAGAGCACGTGATGTGCGAGCAGCCATCGCAGCCCAGCCCTCGAGCGGGGCGCCGCCGACCCCACAATCCTCCAAGCCAGCAGACGCGGCGTCCCCCTCCGCGGACGGCGCCGCCCCGGCCTCCTCGGACGAGACCGCGGTCGTGGACGCAGCCGAGAGCGCGGATCCCGCCGCGGAACGCGCGCGCGCGGACGAGCTGATCGCGCAAATCGACGGCGCGTGGCCTGCGTTCCAGGCGACGCCCGAGTGGGCGGCTGGCGGGCGAGCCTGCGTAGCCGAGCTGGACGAGATCGTCAGATCCTCGCTGCAGCGCTGGACCGTCTCGCCCGCGGGCGCGCGGATGCGGCGCAAGTGCGTGGAGCAGCTGCAGTCCCTGGCAGAGGACATCGGGCAGGTCGTGAACAAGCAGGTCGTCTACGACAAGCCAGAGGACTGGACGCACCGCACGGGGGAGAGGATCCCGGCGTTCGTCCCGGGCACCGTGCGCATGAAGCCGCACGGGTCGTTCGTGCAGGACATGTCGCAGGAAGACAGCGACGTCGATGTGTCCATCCACGGGCAGCTGAACCGCGACTACGTGCGGCTCGTGGTCGAGACGGAGAACGAGTGGTGCGCGCACGCGCCCCGACCTGCCGCGAACGCCGAGCGCGCTCCGCGCCGCCCACGACTCGGCACAGTGTGCTGAGTAGCTGGACAGCGATCCCCCCCCCGCGCCGCCGCAGGACGAAGGACCTGACAGAGGACGAGCGGCGCGCTCTCCGGGACTCTCTCGCGCCGGGAGCGCCCCCGCTGTGCGCGGCCAGCCTCCCCAGGTGCATCAAGAAGCGCGTGCTCTCAATTATGAGAAACCTCTTTTACAAACTGCCGTACGACAGCCGCATCAGGCGCCTTCTCAAAGTGACGAACTTCCTCGCCCGGGCCCGGATCCCGCTCCTGGAGACCCGCTGCGCCCAGGGAGGGTTCATGATCGAGGTCATGGTGGGCAACACCGCGGGAGTCAAGTCGGCGGCCATCCGCGAGATGGCGCAGGTAACTCCCCGCACGGCCCCCGCGGGACGCTCCTCGCCATCGTCCGCCCCGCGCGAGCACTCGTGCGGAGACCGAGTTCCGTCGCCGGCCCCTGGTGCACGCAGCTTGACGCAAGGGTGCGCCCGCTGCTGCTGGCCGCGAAGATGCGGTCCAAGTGCCCGCACGCGAAGATCGTGGACGCGTCGGCAGGGCTGTTCAACTCCTTCTCGATCTCCCTCCTCGCGCTGTTCCACCTGCAAACGGTGTCGCCGCCCGTCGTGCCGCCGATGTGGACGCTCTTCCCCGGGTTCGCGGCAGACGGGCCGCGCCCGCTCGACGCCACGAGACACGACGACGCAGGTGCGTCCGTCGCGCAGCGCTGCTGCCCACGCCGCCGCCGCCGCACACGCGACGGGCCCCGCGGGACGCGTCGTGTTCGCACGCCGCCGCGTCGCGTCCCCTGACTCCGCGCGACCCCCGCGCCCGCGACGCAGCGCGGGAGAACCTCGAGAGCGCCATGATCGAGCGCGCGCGCGCCCTGCGCACGGAGTGGGCGTCCGAGAACACGTGCAGTGTCGGCGAGCTGCTCGCGTCCTTCCTGGTGCGCCTGGACGCCATGATCGGAGCCTGCGACAGGACGGGCGCGGCCTTCCTTGGGTACGCGCCCTGCGTGTGGCGCGGGGCCTGGGTGCGCCTGGAGCCGGGGGAGGCGTGCTACCAGGAGAAGCGTCACTTCGTGGTGGTGCCGGACCCGCTGGAGGTCGCCGAGAACTGCGGACGGAGCGCGTACAAGTATGAAGGCATCGTGGTGCGCGGCCCCAAGGCCTGGGACCCGCCCAGCGCCGCCCAGCGCCCCCCCCGCATCCGCCCTGGCCCGTTGAAACCTGTGCCGCGCGGCGCTGGCGGCGCGCTCTGCAGGAGGCGTGCAAGGACGGAACGCAGGATCTCCTGAAGATTGCCGAGGGGCTGGGGACGGCGAAGCTGGACCGGGTGGACGCGCGCATGGGCCTGGAGGTCCTGTTCTTGTGACAGCAGGGCCCGAGGGCTGTGCGACAACTGCGGCCGTCCGAGACCCCCGCTGGCGGTCCCAGCGTGCGCACGGCGGCGCTCTCGCCGCGTGAGCCCGTCCGCCCGAGCGCCACCTCGCAGTCGGCTGCGTTTGCGAGCCGGGCGGGCTGCAGACTTCCGTGCACTTGTCATCTCCGCACGCGGGTGGAGCGGGCCGGACACCTGCCGTGACGGCTGCCGAAGGTGTGATGACGAGACGGGCCTCACAGCGGCGGCCTCCTGGGGGCGGGACGGCGCGACCTCAGGCCGCGTGGCGCTAGGAGCTGCGGCTTGCTGCAAGAGCCTTGGCGGCCGGACAGGCGTACGAAGTGACCGAGCGAGCCGCCCCCCGCCGCACCCGGGAGCGCTCAACAAGCGGCCGTCCTCGCGGAACGTCGCCTCAGCGTCCGTGGCGGCCCACAGAGAGCCCCAGCGGTGCGCGGCGGAACGCAGACATGCACGGCCGCTGGGCGAACGCCGGGCGTGGCACCGGCTGTTCCGCCCACGGCCGGCTCGGTCCCAATATTGTGCCCCCTCTGCGGCGCGCGCGTCCCACCGATCGCGCCTCGCTGACGCGCGAGCACCTGGACACATGACGCACGCGGAGGTTCAGGAGCGGGCTGTGGCGTGCCCCAGCCGCGCGGCGCGCAGAAGCGGGAGCGACGCGCGACGACGGCCGTGGATCTGGGCTGCACGTCACGCCTCTCGCCGAAGCAGCGCCGCCCGCGCGCCCTACACGGCGCAGCGGCGCAGCTTGGCACTGCTGGGAAAAACACGCACTCGAGACGCGCCGCGAGTCCCGCGCGCGACCGTCGGCGCCGCGACACCGCGCCGTCGCTCCTGCCCCGGGCGTCGCGCGCAGGCACGCCCATGACGCAGCCAGGACCGTGCGCGGTGGGGGGGGTCCTCTCGCCCCGGCCCCGGAACCGCCTCCGCGCCCCCCCGCCGCCGCCCGCGCATAAGCGCCCCCGCCAGCGCGCCACGAGCACTACCCGCCACCCCGGAGCCCACGTCCGGGGCGCCCAGCCCTGCGCGGCCGCATATCGGTCCCCCGCTACACGATCCTCCAGGCCTGCGTTGAGCAGCCTCCGACGCACCCGGCTCCCGCGCGGACGCGGCACTGCCAAGCGGGCAACTCCGGCGCCGCGTATGGCGGTGAGTCCCCGACGAACCACGTGTCCGCGGACACACACTGCGGGGGCTGCGTGCCGCGGCCGAAGCATGTCACGGTGCCGTGGTTGGGGCCCTGGGCGACGCCCGCTCGCGGCGCGCGAGGGGCGGCGGACGGGACGCGCGCGCGCATGCAGACGGCAGGGTTGCTGTCTTCGGCGGTGCCGCCGCGGCAGCTTGCGTTGATGGGGCGGTTCGCGCGGGACGAGCGGCAGCCTGCGTGACAGCTGGTCGTGCGCCCGGCGGGCCCTGCCTAGGGTCCTCCCGCCGCGCGGCGTGCTCGTTGCCTCCGCGCGGCGGGCGCGCGCGGCGAGTTGCGCACGATGTTGAGGTAGTCCGTTTCGGTGGATGGCCGCGCAGGAATCGCCAGGCGGAAGTGACGCGCGGGCCCAGTCCTCCAGCCCGCCCCTCGAGGGGCACCCGGGCGACAACGTGGAGAGTCTGTGGGCCTGCGACGACGACAATGGATACAACAGCCGTTTGCCGTGGATCCGCGTGCTCGAGAGGCACGTGGAGAGCAAGGTCGCGGCGTGGGAGGCGGGTGGGCCGCTCCTCACCGACGTTTCACGGAGCATCGCCGCGCTGCAGGCGCTGGCCGCGGAGCTGACCGTCACGGTGCACGGCTCGTCGCTCACGGACGACGACACGCCCTGGCGCGCCCGCAACGGCGAGAGGGTGCGCGTGTTCCAGGAGAACACGGTTTCGGTGTGTTTGGAGGGGCCCTACGCGCAGGGGACGGCGCAGACGGACTCGGTCTGCAACGTGACGCTCTGCGGCGTGGTGACGCCGGCCGCAATCGACCTCATCAGCGCCATGACTCCGTGAGCGACCCGCCCCGCGCACGCACGCCGCAGCCTAGACTGTGCTGCAAGGCCTCACGCCCGAACACCGCGCCCCAGCGGCGCGCAGGCTCTCGCCCGGGCGTCCACCCCACTGTTCCCGTCGTCTGCGCTGCAGGGGGGCCGCAGACAGGCGGAGGATCTCGAGGGCGCTGCAGGACGCGAACTCCAGTGCCCTGCATACAGCCCGAACCCCTCACGTAATACAGCTGCGTCTTCTTCGCTTCGTCGCGCGGGATCTGCGCAGACCCAACGAGGCGGAGCTGCAGTGCATGGAGCAGCTGCGGAACGCGCGCAAGCCGCTGCTGCGCGCCCGGCACGCGCTCCATGGGACTCTGGTTGAAATTTCGTGCGGGAGCCTCAGCGGCTTCAAGGCCGCCGTCATCCGCGAGATGATCAAGGTACCGGCGCCGTGCACTGCCCCCGGCCCCCCCTCGGCCCCGTTCGCGGCGCACGCGGCCCCGGGACCGCCGTCCTGCAGCCGCCAATCAGCAGCCCTCGCCGCCCGCTCCCACCGCGCCCCCGCAGATGGACGACCGCGTGCGGCCGCTGATGATCGCCGCGGCCAGGTGGGCGCAGCGCGAGGGCGCGCAGGTCGTCGACGGCACCAGGAAGCTGCTAACCCCCTACGCTCTCGACCTGCTGGTGCTCTTCCACCTGCAAACGCTCCGGAAGCCCGTCCTGCCGCCCATCCGCGAGCTCTTCCCCGCCTACCAGGACCCCGACGGCCCCCGGCCGCTCGACGGCGTGGTCAGCGCCGAAGGTGCGTCGTCCCGCGCCGCCCCGCGCGGCCGGCCGCTCCCACTGCCCAGACACGGGCGCTCCAACCGCGCGGTGCCGCGCCCCCGCGCTCCCGCGCAGACGTCGACGACAGAGTGGCCAGGATGCTCGTGCGTGCGACCGAGCTCGTGTCCACGTGGCGCTCCGGGAACGAGGCGGGCGTCGGGCAGCTGCTGGCGCTCTTCGTGGAGCGCGTGGCGCGGCTCACCGCGGCGTGGGCCGACGGAACGCTCGGCAACCGCGTGCCGTGCACCTGGCACGGCGCCTGGGTCGCCGTGCCGGACACCGAGCTCGGCCGGCGCATGCTGGCGATGGGGAACAACGTCGCGGTGGTGCCCGACCCGATCGAGTCCGTGCAAAACAACGCGAGGAACCTCTCGATGGCGACCATACAGCACATCGCGGTGCGCGCTCCCCGCCGACGAGGCTCTCCCTGTGCGCGCGCGTGGCGGTCGGGGGCTGCCGGCGCGCGGCGTCGCGGCGCACCGGCCATAGATGCGATGACCAGCGTGGAAACGAGGCGTGGTTGCTTGCATCCGCTGCGCGCAGGAAACATGCCGCGACGGGCAGGCCGCCTTCGAGGCGTGCGCCGCGCTCATGGACCAGGACGAGATCCAAGAGCAGATCGACCTGCTGCTGCCCTAGCAATCAAGCTCCTTACAGTGCTGCCGTTGCGGTCATTGTAGGCCAGCGACACAAGAGCAGATCGACCTGCTGCTGCCCTAGCAATCACGCTCTTCAAAGTGCTGCCGTTGCGGTCGTTTGAGGCCAGCGACACAAGAGCAGATCGACCTGCTGCTGCCCTAGCAATCACGCTCTTCAAAGTGCTGCCGTTGCGGTCGTTTGAGGCCAGCGACACAAGAGCAGATCGACCTGCTGCTGCCCTAGCAATCAAGCTCTTTACAGAGCTGCCGTTGCGGTCATCTTAGGCCAGCGACAAATCCCAAGCCCGCGAACGCACGTTTTTGCGCTCAACGCTGAGCTGCAGTAAAACCCTTGTACGCAATGAGAACCGCAGAGGACCCCTGCGACGGGGGCGTTCCTTGACGACGAGCCCGTCGCTCTCCGCTCTCCTCCACATCCACAAGACGCTATCAAGACGACGACACACAACACCCAGTAGCTCGATATTCCCTCCCCTCCTTCCGCTACTTCCCCAGCGACGCACGTCCAAGGCGGGGAGAGGGGATATTTTTGTCGCATTGACCGCTGAACCGACCTGAGGTTGTTCGAGTGCGCAACCGGGCAGGGTGTGACCTATCGAGCACGCGCGTGTCACAGCCCGGCATCGCGCCGTGAACGCGGCGTCCCCGCACTCGCGCCACAGCAGTCATGCGTGCTTCCCCACGCGGCTGCCGGACTTCCTCGCCGACCGCACCGAGACGCCGGACTGCCGCAGCTGCTGCCGCTGCGACTCCAGCTCCCGCTCCAGCTCATCGCGCCACTCCTGCGCCTTGCTCCCCGACGCCGCTGACGCCCGCGCCGACGCCAGGCCCTTCAAGTCCAGCGACTGCGCGCTCCGGGGCGGCGACGAGCGGTGAGACCCCGCGCGGGATACGGGCGGCGGTGCGGCGGCGGTGCGGCGGCGGAGCGTGCACGGGGGCATAGCGCCAGGGGGGGGTGTGTTCGTCATACCTTCATGATGCTCTGCTTGATGTCCAGGCCGGCGAGCGGCGTCGCTCCCGGCGTCTGCGCGCCCTTCGCCCCCGTCCCAGGCGTCGAAGACCCCGCTCGCAAAGCCCCCAACGGCAGCGGCGGCACGGGCACCGCGCTGCCCGCCACCAGCGGTGCGGGCCCATTCTGGGGCCGCAGCGCCGACGCGCCGCGCACGCCGGCGCTCTGCACCGAGCTCCTGTGCGAGCTCCTCCCGTCGAGTGCCGCAGAGGTCGCCTGCGACGCCCGCAGCCCCGCGTGCCGGCTCCCCGACGCCCTCCCCGGCGACGACCCCACGCCGCCCGCGAGCGGCGACGCGCGCCGCGCGATCGGCGACATCGTCGGCTGCGGCGTCGGCGCACCCGCGCTGCCGGGCGTGGCGGGCGTCCCGGCCGTCCGCGCGGTCCCGGAGCCCCCGCCGGGCCGCTCGGCGACGGCGCGGGCGGGGCGTTCTCCTTGTCGCCCGCCGCGTCGAGCCCCTGCTGCGGCGTCGAGCTCTCGTCGCCGCCCTCGCGCGGCGCGGCCTCGGCCGGCGCCGGCGCGCCGTGCGGGAACCGCGGCGTCTCCGGCGGCAGCGCTGCCAGGCGGAACACGCTGCTCTTGAAGCTGCGGCGAATCATCTCGTGTTGCTGCTGCGACCGCTGCTGAACGAACGAGAGCAACGACATCTCGTCCGCGGCCGGGCTGCGCGACGCGGCGCGCGTGGGACTGCCCGTCGAGGGCGCGTGGCGCAGCGGGGTGCCGGCCACCGCCTCGTGGCCGCCGTCGTCCTCGCCGCCGCCGTAGCGCCCGGCCGCGCTGCCGAGGCTGCCGAGCACCGCGGGCACGCCGCTGGACGACGCCACGTCAGGTTCCACGTCCACTGGGTTATACCCCAGGTCGAAGGAGTCCCCCACGGGGGGTCGCGTGGCCGCGAGACCCGGCGCGAGCGCGCTCGCGGGCTCGAGGGCGCGGCGCTGCGGCGCGTCCGTCGCGACCTCGAATCCCTCCGGGATCCGCGGCATGTGCGCCGACGGCGTCGCCGGCACCCCGCACGGCTCCTCCGCGCCGTCGATCGTCCCCATGCCCATGCCGCCGGGGATGACCGCCCACGCCACGCTGCCGTCTTCGTGCGCCGCGGGCGGCTGCAGCGACGTGGTGGCGTCGAAGGTGCCCTCCAGCATCGCGGGCGAGAACATGGGCGGCGGCGTCCCCAGGCTCTCGCAGGGGTTGAACGACTCGAGCGGCGGGTGGGCCGCCGCGGGCTCCGGCGCGGCGTGCGCGGGCGGCGGCCCCGCCACGCCGGACGACGGCGTGGTCCCGGAGTCGGCGCCGGAGCCCGACAGCGTCCCGGAGTCGGCGCCGGTGGTCTGCTGCAGCCCCGACTCCTCCGGGACGGGCGAGGGCATCGCGCCGGCGCCGAGGAACCCGCGCGTGGGCGACTGCCGCGGGTAGGCGGTGGCGACGAACGGGTGCCGCAGGAGCCGCGTGGCGTTCGGGCGCATCTTGGGCCGCCGCTCGAAGCACAGCGCCAGGAAGTCCTTGGCCTCCTCGGAGAGGTGCGCGGGCGCGGTGGGCGGGCGGTTGCAGTTCGCGATGTGGAACATCGCGGCCATCTGGTTGCCCCACGCGTGGTCGCTCCACGGCGGGCGCGCGGAGGCCATCTCGATCACCGTGCAGCCCACCGACCAGATGTCCGCCGCGCGCCCGTGGCCCTCCTGCTTGATCACCTCGGGCGCCATCCAGTACGGCGTGCCCTTGATCGAGCGGTACCCGTCGCCCATCGTGACCAGCGACTCGATCTTGCGCGAGGCCCCGAAGTCCGCGAGCTTGATGGTGCCCGCGTTGTCCACCAGGATGTTCGCGCCCTTGATGTCGCGGTGCATGTGCCGGTGCTGGTGCAGGTACTCGAGGCCGAGGAGGATCTGCCGCGTGTACACGCGCACCACCGACTCCTGGAACGGCCCGAACCTGCGCGCGTGGGAGGGGCGTGGCGGCGGCGGGCGTCGGGCTGCGCGGCGGGAGCGCGCGGGCGCGGCGCGGCGGGCGCGGGCGCGCGGCGCGTCGCGCACCTGGCGAGCAGCGACGCGATGGATCCGCCGGGGACGAACTCCAGGAAGATGCTGAGGTTCTTGTTGTTGCGCTCCGTGCCGAGGTAGCGCACGATGTTCGGGTGCCGGAGCGCGCGCAGGATGCCCACCTCCTCCTCGAGCTCCTTGACGTGGCGGTCGACCTCGTCGCGGTCCCCGGGGCGCCCCGCGGAGCCCCCCACCGGGAGGTGTTTCACCGCCATCAGCTCCCCCGTCTCCATGTTCATGCCGAGGTAGACCTGCCCGAACGCGCCGGAGCCGAGGAGCTCGCCGCGCTGCCACTTGAGCCCCTCCGCGAGCGGCTCCGCGGGCGCGGGCGGGGGCGCGGGCGGCGGGGTGGGTGCTGCGGGCGCGGGCAGCGGCGAGGGCGCTGCCGGCGTGGGGGCCGGGACGAGCGTCGTGGTGAACTCCAGGGAGCCCTCTCGGTGCTCGCGATCATCCTGCGCGCAGTCCGACGTGCGGGCGAGGCGTCGTGGGGCCGCGGGGGGCCGGGACGCGGTCGCGGGCGCGCGAGGTGCGCCCTCGGGGGGGTCTGGCGTCGCGCCCGGGGGCGCGGCGCGGAGGGAAGACGGCGGGGACGTGTTTGGGTGCGAGGGACGTGGGAACGGACGCGCGCGTGCGCTTTCTCGCCGCTCAGGGCGCAAGTGCGCGCGAAATACTGCGACAGAGAAAGAGAGCGCCCTCCCTGCGGCCTGGGAGGACGTTCGCTGAACGTGACCACACGATCGTCGTCTGTATGATCGTGGGTGGCCTGACGCGTCCATCCGGGGCTCTCAACGGGCGCACGCGTCCCGCCACGTCCGTTGGGCTTTGAACACGGAGCGCGACAGCCGCTGCGCCGCGGACGTGGGCGCCGGCGCGCGAGCGGCCGTGTCCGCCGCGACACGCGCGCACGAGGATCGCGGACACGCGTCGTGATGCCGGGAACCCGCACCTGGGGGCCCTGGGCGCCCTTCAAGCACGCGTTGCCCATTGCTGCTGGACTGCAGGCCCTTCAGCCGCCTCTGCCGGCGCAGCAGCGCGCAACCTCGCACTACGGGCGGACGATACGCAATGTGCGGGTGTTGCCTCGCCAGTTTAGCTGCTCTGCGACATGGGCGGGCCGTCGCGGCGGGCGGCGCGTCGCTTTTCCAGGTGAGCAACGCTAGGAGGTCTCAGGCCCGCTGCTGCGGTCAACCTGTCAACAACGAAACAGTGCACGCTGTCTCTGGGCGCCGGCAGCATCCAGCCGCGCCCCGGACAGGCTCGGCGGCGCGCTGCCGGACCGTCCCGGACGCCTCACATCGACGCCCCCCCCCCGGCCTCGGGAGCCCCAGCGACAGCAGCGGGCGGCCACGCAGCGGCACAGCCTGATTCATTCTAATCACACGACGCGTTCCGGGGCCCTCGGACACGTCCCTTCGGCCCGGCGTGCGCACGTGTGCTGTCGCTAACTCCCTGTCATGTGTGCAGGCGCGGGGCTGCAGCGCCGTGGAATGTACGTGGAGGCGTTCCCTGCAGCCGCCCCAGCTCCCCCGGGGCCCTGCATCACGCGGCGCCCTGCACGTTGGGCACGTCGCGCTCGCTCGCCACCCTGCACAGCGCACACCAACGGGGGGGGGTGAGGAGCGAGCGTGCGACACGGAGGCTCCTCGCGGGCCGCCCCCCCCGAGCGCGAGCGGCTGCCCTCCGTCGCGCACCTGAACACGTTGCCGCAGATGCACCCGTGCGAGTCCACGCGCGGCACCGCCTGCACGGGCCGCCAGCGGCGCGTCATGCCGTGCATGTAGCACGACACGTGGCCGGGCCACTGCTCGCCCTCGATGACCCAGCCCTCCTCGCCGGGGGACTCCGCGATGTGGTTGCCCGCGGACGTGTACAGGCAGCCCGCCGGGAAGGGCACCGCCGTCGGGCGCACGCACTCGCCGAGCATGCTGAAGTCGGTGCCGAAGCACAGCAGGCCGTCGTTCGTGACGCCCCAGTCGAGCGACTGCGCGCCGTCCTTGTCGCGAGCTGCGGCGCGGGGGCGGCGCGGGGCGCGGTGAGTGCAACCAGCCGAGGCGGTGCGCGGGGGGCGTCGTGGCGGCGTCGCGGGCGGGGGGCGCACCGGCGAGGACGCGGCGCTGCATGCTGTCGAAGATGACGAAGGCGAACGGGCCCTCGACGGAGCCGAGCGACTCGAGGGCGCGCTCGCAGACCTCCTCGACCGTCGGCACGTCCAGCAGCGCGCGGTAGTACTGCGGGGGCGCGAGGGGCGTCGTGCGGCGCAGCCCGGTCGGCGGCGACGGCGTGGAGCGCCCGTGCGACGCGTGTGCGAGACGGGTCGCAGTGTGAGGAAGGGGGGGGGTCAATGCACGTGCCTTGAGGAGCCGGTCGGCCTCGGAGCCGCCCTGCTCGCCCGAGACGTACTTGTTCTGGTTGTCCGCGACGGGGTCGGCGTCCGGGGACACGTCGGGCCAGTGCGCGACCTCGCCCGTGAAGACGACAGTCACGCCGTCCTGGGACGCGATGTGGCAGTACGGGCCCAGCTGCGCGGACGAGGGCGCGGAGGCAGCGCGGCGTCACGGGTGCGCGCTTGCCGTGCCGGGGGCGCGCGGCGCGGCGCCGGCGGGCAGCCCCCACGGGCCGCGCAGTGTGCAGGACGACACCGTGGTCTGGGGCGGCTTGACGCCAATGAAACGCCCCGTAACTGCCGTATTCGTTCGTTTCAGTATGTGTGCGACCGGTTCGGGGCGCGTTTCGTCCGGCGGAGCGCATGTGTGGCGCGCGTGCGGGGCGACATCCAGGGGCGATGAGGGGACGGGGCCTCGCCTTGATCGCGGCGCCGTTGCCGTCGCCGAGGTCCACCATGCGGCGCATCGAGCTCTTCACGGTGAAGTTCTTCTCCAGGAAGTCGTGGCAGCGCTTCTGCAGGCCGCGGTGCGCGGGCAATGGGCTACAGGGTGGCAGTTGGCCAGGAGCGAGCCAGGGCGCGCTGGTCCGCACAGGGCCGGAAATGCGTCAACGCAGGGTCGTATCGCGGGGACCCGCCCGGTTACTGCGAGCGCGCGCGCCCGTTCGGGCCCGCTGCGGTGCGTTTCGCGGGCACGCGAGAGTTAGTTGGGGAAGGGAGGGGGCGCACCATGCGGGCGTTGACGGCCGTGTCGTGGAAGTGGCCCTGCGGAGACGGAGGCACGGGCTAGGCGACTCGTAAGGGCCGATGGGACGGCGCGCGCGGGGCGGCGCCGCGCGGGGCGACGCGCCTCGGGCGGTGTGGCTCGTGGCGGGCGCGCGCTCTTGTGGGCCGCGTTCGCGCGACAGCGCCTCACCTGGAAGTGTCCGGGCTTCATTTCGAGCGGCTCCAGCCCGCGGGGGGCCCGAGCGGTCTCTGCAGCGCGCCGACGCACGGGCGCACACGCAGTGAGCACACAACGTCATGCCATGCAGCGCGTGGCCGGCCCGGCCCGTCGCACCGGCGTCCGCGCGAATGCGATCGATGCCAGGGACCGCGGCGCGGGCAGCGCGCACCATTGTCGAAGCAGCAGAGGAAGGCGCAGTCCGTCGACATGGTGCACAGCTGAGGGGGTCGGAGGGGGCGCGTGCGCTGGTGGGTCGAGTTCGGAGGTCGGTGCTCAGCTCGTTCGTCAGATGCCGGAGTGGGGCAGCGGGGCGCGCCGGCCGGGCCTCGTGCGCCGCCGGCGGCGGCCACGCGGCGGGCTGACGCCGCGGGTGGACTGCCCTCCCCAGCGCGACGTGTCCCGCGCGCGTCGTTCCACGCCTGGCGATAGACTCATGCGCGTCCGGCGGGTCCAGCTGTATGCGGATCCGGTGTCGGCGCACGTCGCTTCCGAACGAGCGCGCGTACGGGGCTGCGGCGTCGGAACCATACTGCCCGGGGCGCTTTCTGGCTCGTGGGTGCGCGAATCACGATCGTCTGTTCGAATTCATGGTTGAGCGAATCAGAATGGACGAATTCACGTAGAGTCTGGGCGTCCCATCGAGTGGAGCGCACTCCCCGGAAGCAGGGCAAGGCATTTCACCTGGGGCGGACGGCGCTCCCGGTCCAGCTATCGTTTTGCAGCGCACGGAGGCGCCCGTCGCGACATCTGCTCCACTGTACGACCCCTTTTCGTGCACTGTTTCGCCCAGGTGCGCAGTCGCGGTGAGGCCCCTGGGCACTCTCTCGTCGAGACGCAGGGGGCGCAGCGCGGCTACTCAGCGCAGCGCCAACCAGCGCCCCCGCGACACCGAGGTGGTACTGGGGCGCCGTCAACGAGCGAATCGGCTGCACGACCCGCCCGAGTCCCGCGACGCCAACCGCTGCTTCGTGGCAGGAATCCTAGCTGCGGCCGCTGGTCCCTCTGCGCATCGCGCTGCGGGTGGACGCGTCCGCGAAAAGACAGCCTGATGCGTCCTCTCGCGCCCGTCGTGCGTCGCACCGCCGCGGCAGCGTCGGCGCTGGCCGCGCGGAGCCGCCGGGCTGCCGCAGCTGCGCCCGCGCCTCGCTGCGGCTGCGCGGCCAGCGAGCGGGCGAGCGCGCGGCGGGACCGCTGCGTGAGGGGCTACGCATCACAGGCAACGCCGACGGAGGGGGTCCCGCCGATGTGGCAGCTCCCGCAGGCCACGCTGCAGCAGGTAAGGGGACCGGGGAGGGCGGGCGGCTGCGGGCGGACCCGCGGCCCCGGCGCCGCTGAGCCCGGCGTCCGCGCCCGCCGTCGGGCTGGCGGCCCGCGTGCATTCGCGTGCCCGGACCGTGCGACGGAGGCGTGTGCACGGGCGGTCTTGAGTCTGCACCGGTGCTCGCTGCGCCCCAGCGCGGCCAACGCGCGATGCGACGCCGCATTCACGCAGGCGGCGAAGTACAAGGTCGTTTTCGTCCTCGGCGGGCCTGGTTCGGGGAAGGGCACGCAGTGCAACATGCTGCTGCAGGAGGAGGCTCAGGTGCAGACACCAGTGCGCCCGTCGCCGCGGCCTCCCGCGCTGCACCGAACATCCAGCGCACCCGATGCCATGTCGCACCAGTGAACTCTACGTTCGGCGGCACAAGTGCCGCAATGGCCGTCCACAGCTCCCGATCGCGCGAGCCTCTCTGTGCCTTCTGCCTCCACGCCCCGCACCGTGCCGGCGCCGGGTGCCGGCGCGAGCCTCACGAGTAGGCCGTCTGTTCCGCGCCCGCGCCGCAGGAGGGGGACAGGAGCGTGGTGCACCTGTCCGCGGGCGAGCTGCTGCGCGCGCTCGTGCGCGGGGGCTCCGAGGAGGGCGAGATGGTCAAGGCCATCACCAGCCGCGGCCACATCGTGCCCTCCTACATCACGGTCAACCTCATGGTCCAGGTCCGCGCCCGCTCCCACCCTCCCACGCACCCGGAAGCCGCCTGCATGCGGTGCGGCCCGCGCAGACACGCCGCCGCGCGGACCCGCGACGCAGGCGATGTGCGAGCAGCCCGCGGGCACGCTGTTCGTGATCGACGGCTACCCGCGCAACGACGACAACCGGTCGAGCTGGCACTCCTTGGGCCTCGACTGCGAGGCCGTCGTGTTCCTCGACTGCTCGGAGGACGTGCTCGTGACGCGCCTGCTCGGAAGGCACGTTCCCCGCCCGAGCAGCCGCTGCCGCTGCCTGGCGCGATGCCGCGTGCCACTGCCCCGAGCCGACCACCACAAGTGGACTGCTGTGTTCGTTCGCGCCGCGACGCAGGGACGAGGGCCGCGCGGACGACCGCGACGAGACCGTGATCCGCGAGCGCATCCGCGTCTTCAACGAGGAGACCATGCCGCAGGTGCTGCATTACGAGGCGCAGGGGAAGCTCCGCCGCGTGCCCGCCAACGGCACCGTCGAGGAAGTGTTCGCCGGCTTCCGGGAAGCGCTCGGCCTGTGAACCGCGCCCCCGCCCCTCCCCGTGTCACACGCGCGCCAGCGACGCGGTCCGGTCCGTGCGCGCCCGCGGACGGCGCGTCTCCTGCAAGACGGTGTGTCGCTGCGAGGCTCGCGACGGCGGCGCGGGCCGGTCGCGGTGCAACGGGGCGTCGGGGCGTCCCCAGGCAGGCAGCCGCCGCCCGGCGCCGCGTGCGGGGCAGCCGCTGTGTCGGGCGCTCTCGCCGCGTTCGCCGTCGTGCCCTGCGCCAAGTGCCCCCCCCTGGTGCCGTGGCGCGCGGGGCCATGGGCGGCTGCTGCGCCGCGGCGACGCAATTCCGCGTTGCTACGGCACTTTTGTGGCGATCGAGGCCGCGCGAGTGGGCTGTGGACCTGCGGATTGGCGTGCGCTCGCAGGCTGGGAGCGGGCGGCGGTGCTGGCGCAGGAGAGGGGAGATGGACAAGGGGCTTCCGCGCTGCATCGGCTCGGCTGAGTGCATCAGCATCGAACACGGTACGCGCCCCGGCGCCCGCCAGACGCCGCCTCGCGCGGATGCCGCCGCGCGCACCTGGGGGCGAGGAATTTTTGCACGGGGCGCGCCGCTGCGCCTCGTGCGCGCGCGCGCCCGCGCAACCACGCGCTCTACGCCCCACCAGGCCGGAACACCTGCGCTCTCCGCTGCGGCGCGCTCGCCATCGAGGGCCACGCACGGCGTCCTGGCGACCGGATTGTGCTCTCTGAGCCGTGGCCGATTCGCCGAGCACCGGGCGCAGTCTCTCGCGCACGCTCCTTTCCACGACCCCATACGACTGCTGAAAGCGTTTTCGTCGGTCTGAGGACGCCGAACGCCCCCCGCCGTGCGACGCGCGCGCCTGCCCCCTTGGCAGAGCCCAGCAGCTGTGCGCACGCCGCGAACGCGGTCCTCGCGACCCCGTCCCACCCTCCGCGTCCAGCTTTCGGTGGTGCGGCGGCGCCATGAGGCCGGCTAGCACCGGGCGAGCCGCAGGACGCACGAACGACGGCGCACTGGGGCCCCAGCCTCAGTGCGGGGCCGCACCGAACGCGCGCACCATGCCCGTTGAACCGCGATTCCCGCATAGCTTCCGACGTCTGAGGAGAGATTCGCTCCGACCGCCTCGTTTGCAGAGCGGGAGGCGACGGGATCCGCCCCCTGTGTGCCAGCACCGTCACAGCACCTGCACATGCGGTACAGCGCGGACGCCACGATGACGTCGTCGGGAGGTGAGCTGTCCGACCGTTCGCCTTCGTGCGCACTCGCTCCGCGCGGCTCGCACGCAGCACCCCACGCGCCCCACCGCGCGACCCAGCCGCGCACCCCTCTGCCCCCGCGCCGACCTGCTGCGCCCGCGCCACGCCCCCTCGGTGCGCAGGCGGCGAAGGGAACCTCCGGGAGACGGCGCGGCGCGCGCTCGGCATCGACGAGGGCCCCGACGCCGGCGCGAGCGACGATCCCGCCCAGCCCCGCACCTTCGACTCGGCCATGCGCCGGGTGTACGGCCCGGTGATGGCCCTGCGCGCGGTGACCACGGACGCCTTCCACGCGCGCGTGCAGCAGGACCCCGCGGCGTCCCGCGAGTCGGCGCAGGTCGCCAAGCTCATGTCGTCCCCCGCGTTCCGCCACCTCGAGAGCCACATCGTCGCCGCGGCGCTCCGGGAGACGGACGCGGTCGTGGACGACATCCAGACCATCCTCGACGACCCGCGCGTCTCGTGCGTGGACCTCGGCGGCGCGAAGGTCCGCGGGCGCACCGTGGGCCGCAAGCGCGACCTGATCGGGGGCTCCAAGGAGATCGCGCAGGCGCTGCACATGCGGCACCCGAACCAGACGCTCCGCAGCGGGCGCGTGCAGGGCCTGGGCGGGCTGGTCGACGTGCCCGGCCGCGGGGAGCGCACCGTCGCGGTGATGATGCACCCTGAGTCGGCGGGGTGTGTCCTGGACAGGCTGGAGGTGTGTGGGTCGCAGGGGGAGGGGGTGTTCGTGCACGGGGCGCTGAACGTGACGCTGCGGGACTGCGAGGTCTGCGGGAGCGATCGGAACGGCCTCGTGTGCACGGGGGGGTCGAACACGCGCGTCGCGGGGGGGCGCATTCACGGCAGCGGGGCGCACGGCGTGTGGGCGAGCGACGTCGGCACGCGGGTCGAGATGGACGGCGTGTCGTGCTCGCAGAACCGCGGGAACGGCGTCGTGTCGACCGCGAGCGCGACGGTGTCCCTGGAGGGCGGCGCGGCGTGCGACAACCACAAGTGCGGCGTCTGGGCGTTCCACAGCGGGTCGATAGCGAGCAAGAGCTGCCGCATGGAGGGCAACGAGGAGGGGCAGTGGTCGAGCATCGGCGGAGCTGTCGTGGTGGACGGGACGCAGGTGGCACTGGGGCGCGGCCAGGGGGGGCTCGAGGCGGACGGCAACGTGGAGCCGTGACCGGCGACGGCCCCGCGCAAACGCAGGAGCGGGCGCCGCGCGCACCCCGCGGCGGCAGGGCGCGTTCCCCCAGACTCAAATCATTGTCAGACTCAAGGAGGGCGGTTTCGCGGTGTCTCGCTGGCACGGCCGGGTCCGATGGCGCGTGCGCGGGACCAGCTGTGCTCGTCACAAGCCGGCTGCGGTGCCGGGAGATGTGAGACACATTCCAAGTCAACAGGGGGTGCACCGCGGCCCACCGCCGTCACTTGCGACCAGCTGCGCCCGTCGTCGTGGGCAGCCCCTTCCTTCGCAACCTGACGCGCTTCATGGCGTGCTTCAGGGCTCGCGAGACCCCGCCGTTGTACATGCCTATCGACAGGAAAATGAAGCCCGCCCCGCCCACGGCGACCTCCGACGGCACGTCCCCGAAGAGCGCGTACGCCAGGCCCGCCGTGAGGAGCGACGAGAACGCCGTCGCGAAGGTCTTGATGATGTTGTCCGCGTACTTGATCACCAGCGCCACCGCGAACCCCGACAGCGCCTGCATGGCCACGATCGACCACGCGTGCCCCCCGAACCCCTGCATCACCCCGCCGTCCACGATCGCCCGGTTGTCGAACGCCAGCGCGTACGCGACCCCGAAGACCATCCCGTAGAAGGACAGCTGCGCGTTGCGCGCCCACAGCCGGTCGCCGACGACGGTGCCCGGCTGCTTGAGGAACTTCTCGGTGTAGACGGACGCGAACCCCGACAGCACGCACGCCGCGGTGTTCGCGGTGAGACCCGTGACCAGCGAGCCCGCCGACCCCGGCGCGGCCGCGCCGGGGCTGGCCCGCTGCATCGACGACATCACCACGCCCACGGCCAGCGTGGGGAGGCTCAGCCACTGCACCGCGTTGAGCCGGATCCTCATGATCAGCACCGAGAAGAGCGCCGTCGTGATGATCTTCAGCTGCTGCGACACCTGGAAGATGAGCGCGGAGAGGTGCGTGGCCCCGATGATGTACAGCACCGCCTGGAGCGTGAAGCACAGCGCCGGGATCGCCATCGGCGTCGACGAACGCATCACCTCGGCCACCGTCGGAGGGCGCCGGCTCCGCGGACCGACCACGCGCGACCCGTCGTCGTCGTCGTCGTCGTTCATGTCCGTGTTGCTGTGGAGGCTCGAGCCCGGCCCTGCCTTGTCCACGCCCACCCTGTCCGCTGGATCTCCGCGGTGTCTTTCGGACCCGCCGAGCGCGACCGGCTGGGCGTCTCCGCGCTCCGGGTCGAAACGCGCACGGCCGCCTGGAGGGTGGGTGCGCGCCCAGGTGCGGTGCTCCAGCGCGACGGCCGCGATGCTCAGCAGCAGCTTGATGCCCTCCGCGATGACGATCGCGACGGAGCCGTGGTAGAGCGGGCCGTCCACCACGCGCGACGCCCGCAGAAGAATGGCGTGCGCGGCATTTTGCGTGATGAGGAGCACGATCGAGCACGGCCCGAGCCAGGAACCCTGTCCCGCCCTCCGGTCGACGCTCGGGGCTGTGCGCACGGAGGGAGACATAGCTGGGTGAGAGCGGCGTGGAAGGAGGGTGTCGCAGACCAAGGGGGGGGCATGAGGCCGCTGGGGCACGGGACGTGGCCGCCACGGTGCCGGGGTGCGATATCCCAGCGACGTGAGGCAGGCCGGTGGCCCGATTAAAGAGCCAAGCGCTGCGGGTGCTCACCTGTCGCCTGCCCTGGTCGCGCTGGCATGATCGATCAAGGAACCTGCCCCGGTGGGCGCGTCATGGACCGCGCTAGCTTCTGTACACCATGTCCCTCCTACGGCTTGCCGTCAGCGAGCGGTGGGGACCAAGCGCGCCAGCTTGTAGGGCGCACGGGCCACAGGACTGGCCAGAGCACAGAACGCGAGCTCGCCCCGACCCCGCGCGCCCTGGGCTCCGCTATGCGCGTGGGCGATGGCCTGCACACCACCACGTCTATATGTTCCACTCTGCGACGTGAGAGCGACCACCAAGCAAAGCACCTGGGCGCGGGAAGCGCGGCCCAAGCCTCCCTGCTTGCACACGGCGCAACAATTGGCCCTGCTGCGCGATTCCAGGCTCGCTGCTGATCAGCGCTCGCTGCCCGCATTCGTGGCAGCACGCCGACAAGCGGGCGACCTACGACGCCGCGCGTGGCGGGAGAGCTCTGCCCGACGCACTCTGGACCGACTTGGTGCGACCCCCCGCCGCTGTGCGGCGTGCTCGAGGCCCGGGCGGCCGTGCGCGCTGTGCAGAAGAGCGCGCGCGTGGTGTTGTTGATCTTAGCGTCGTGGCGGAGCTTGAGTCTGTGACAGGCAGCGCTCGCAGCGAGGCGTTCTCGGCGCAAGGGGCGAGGCGAGAGGTGGCGGCAGGTGGACGAGCGAGTCTCAGGGGAGGAACTCTGCGTGCCCAGGAGGCGGGAGTCGGGTTCCAGCGCGCCCGGCCATGAACGTCGATCACTTGAGCGACCACGAAGAGCCCGTGCAAGTGCGTGCCACCAGCGCGTGCCCCCCGAGCAGCCTGCGCGGTGCATCCTGTCATTCGCGGCCTCCGAGGCACTGCATCCGCGTGTCCGCCACGCTTCATCGTCAATCGAACGACCAGCCCGCCGGCCGTCGCGCGCGAGCTGCACCCGACGACACGCCAGCGCAGCCCGCGCGCCGCCAACCGCCGCGCCCGCCTGCGCCCACCAGCAGCTCCGCCACGGCGCCGCAGGAGTACTACACCGAGTCGCGCCCTGTTGGCCGGCAAGGTCCGCTGTCATGGGCGTGGGAGCGCATCCAGACTCTGGGCCACGGGGCGAGGCGCGCTGAGCCGCACGCCTCGTCCGAGTACTTCGCGCTCGTCCCGCTGTCCGACTCTCGGTACGCTCGGCCCGTTCCGTCGCGCCGCGCCGCCGCTCGCCCCGCCAGCACGCCCCCACCCCCCCCCCGGTCCCATGTGCCCGCAGGCTGTCGATGAACCCCGCGCGCGTCCGCGGCGTGCTGTGCGCCGTGATCGCCCTGGGCATGGCCATGTGCGGCGTCATCTTCCTGCTCGTCCCGCGCGGCATCGCCACGGGCACCGCGCAGGTCGAGGTCCGCACCATGTCGTGGAACGCCGACAGCAGCACGTACGAGCTCCAGCTCGACCTCTCCCTGCCCGTGTACAACCCGAACTTCATGTCGGCGCGCCTCCAGGGGACGCTCGACGTGCTCTTCTACGACTCCCCCGCGGGGACTGTGGAGCTGGACGAGGTGCTGCCGGCGCGCGCGCTGCCGACGACGCTCAGCCTGCGCATGGACGCGTCGCAGCTGAGCTCGCGGTACACGCTGACGGTGGTGGACCAGTGCGCGATGTTCCCGCACAGCCTGATCTTCCTCCTCCGGAGCAGCCTCAACGCCACCATGCTGGTGGGCCGCGCGCACGAGATGCCGCAGATCGACTCGTACTTCATCGTCGACTGCCAGGGCGGGGGCAAGCACCGCCACCACGACGACGACGACTCGTCCGACGACGACGACGGCGGGGTGCCCTGGCCTGCGCGATGACGCCCGCACGCACTGCGGCCCGCCGACCGCCTGTACATACGACCGCTCCGCCGCAAGTGCGCGTGTTACCGCCGACACTCGCGCCGCAGGGGCTTAATCGCCCACGTCTCGCTCCTGACCCCCTTTTTCCGTGGGGCTGATCCACGGGACGTTTCGACGCGCCCTTCGCGACAGTGCCCCCACGGCGCCGCTCTGGACGGTCTCTGAGCTGTCACACGTCTCGTCATGCTCCCGTGGCGAGAGACACTCCCGTCGTCTGGCCTCTGAAGGTTCGCGGGGGACAAAACAACATCGCCTCCACGGCGCTCGATGCGCTGGCTCCGCCGAGCCGCTTGCCGTTCCGGATTGCCTGCTCTTGATCGCTGTGCCCGCCGCCCTTCCGGTCGTCGTGTCGCTCGCACTACGCGAGGACGTCGTCCACCAGCTCGTCCACGGCACCGCCGCGCTCGTAGGCACGCAGGGCGCGCTCGACGCTGTCCCTGCCGCTGCGCCGCCGCAGCCCGTCGTCGCTCATCGCCCCGGCGCGTCGCCGCTTCGCGCCCATGCCGTTGCCCCGGGACTTGGCCTTGCCCCCCTTCTGCTGGGGGGACTGATTCCTCTTACCCCCCTTCTTCTTCCCCGTGTCCTTCTCCGCGCCCGACCCGCGCTTCGCCGCCTTCTCCGCCTTTGGCGCCGGCCCAAAGTCGCGCCCGGCGAGCTCCTGGGTGGTCCCGCGGTACAGCGGCGTGGTGAACACACGCACCCGGGGGCCCTTGAGGCCCTTGACGGAGCCGGCGGGGGGCTCGATGATGTCGTACCCGCCGGCGTCAATGCACTTCGGCTTGCTCGCGCGCGCCTCGCGGATCGCGCGCGCCGTCGCCTCCCGCGCCGCCGCCAGGTCGCCCGGAATGATGCGGTGCGGGTACGTCTCCCCCAGCACCACACCGGCCTGCAAGTCCGACCCAGAAAACGCCGCACGTCTCGCACCCTGGCCGCGACGGCCGCACAGCGCGCTCACCGGCACGCGGCGGCGCGGGCTCACCTTGCGAAGGACGTCGGGCTTGCACTGCCACGGCTGGTGCACCTGCGCGCCGGGGATCCCCGCGAGCTCCGGCACCCACTTGCGCACGTAGTCCCCGCTCGGATCGCTCACTTTCGTGCACGGCGAGACGGTGTAGTTCCACTGGTCGAGCCCGCTCTTGCCCGCGTTCTGCCACATCATGCTGTTGATCGCCAGGTCCGCGTCGACGAGCGTGTCGTGGAACCACCGCAGCCCCTCGATCCAGTGGATGCCGAGGTACTCGGTGAGGCACAGTGCGGCCGCCATGCGCACGTTCTGCTGCATCCACCCCGTCTGCCACAGCTCGCGCATGCCGGCGTCGACCAGCGGGAAGCCCGTGCGGCCCTCCTGCCACGCACGCAGCGCCTCGGGGTCGTCGTTCCACACCATCTTGTTGTACCCGGCGCCGCGGATGGGGTCGCGGCACATGGCGGGCCAGTGGTGCAGCTGCCAGTACGCCAGGTCGCGCCACGCGAGGCGGCGCCAGAGCGTGCCGGACGCGCCCTTGGCGCCCGCGCGCGCGAGCTCGGCCAGCATCGTGCGAGCGGAGAGCTGCCCCGAGTGCAGGTAGGGGGACAGTTTCGAGACCCCCCGTGCGTCGGCAAACCCCTTGTCGGCCTCGTAGCCGCCCACGGACGAGGCGACGAAGCGGTCCAGGAGCTCCAGCGCCGCCTTCTCGGAGATGTCCCAGTGCGACGCCACGGCTGCGCCCCAGTCGACGCCCTTGCGGGGTGTGGGAAGCAGGCCCAGCTGCGCCAGCGGCACGCCGCCACAGCGCTCCGAAGGGTCCTGCGACGACACAGAGCCACGGACGTCGCGCGTCAGAGAAGCACCGGGTCAAAGCAGCACACACATTTGGTGGTGCGCGCCGTCCAGGCAAACACCGAACTTTGGTCGTGGAACACAGGCGGCGCGTACCTCATCGCCGACGGGCAGGTTCTCGGGCGCCGGCAGCGCCTTCTGCGGCGGCCCGGCGGCCTCGGACGCGCGCACGAACGGCATCAGCGTCCCGAAGTGCCCGGCCCAGCGCGACATGTCCACCGTCACCTCCTCGGGCTCCCGCAGCAGGTGCGCGTTGAACGACTCGACCGCGACGCCCCGCGCCAGCAGCGCGTCGCGCACGCCGTCGTCCGCGGCGCGCATCGCCGGCTCGTAGCGCCGGTTGTAGAACAGCGCCCCGGCCTCGGCGCCCTGCAGCGCGGACACGACTGCGGGCAGGTACGGGCCCTTCGCGAACACCACGGCGGCGCCGGGGCCGTACCGCGCCTTGACGTCAGCCTGGAAGCTCTCCAGCGCGTGGTGGTGCCACAGGCGGTTGCACGCCCCCGGGCGCCACGACTTCCCCCACTGCGAGGCCAGGGACCCCAACACCGCTGTGTGTTGGACGCACCGCACACGCGGGAGACGCACGGCTGTGAACGCGGACGCGCTAGCTCGCGCAGTGCTGTGTCGCTCACCCAGGGCGCGTCTCCGTCCTCGGAGGGGGAGTCGACGTACAACAACACCACCTTGGAGTTGTGCGCCTTCGCGCGCCGCGCGGCGTGGTGCAGCGCGGGGTTGTCGTGCAGGCGCAGGTCCTGCCGCAGCCAGACGACCACCGACGTCCCGAACCCGCCCTCGGGCACGCGCGCCGCGGCGTCGGACCCGGCCCGTGCGCCCACGTCGTGCTGCAGCGGGTCTGGCGCCGCATCGAGGATGCTGGCGTCAGGCTGCCACCGGTGCGAGACCGTGTCCGACGGGAACGGCAGCTGGGTGCCCTGGGGACCTCGGGACGCGCGCGCGACGACTGCACTGGCGGTCGAGCGCGCCTCCGGGGCGCTGCAGACGTGTGGATGGCAGCGGTGAGCTTTCAGGGCGCCAGCGCGGCCGCACGCAGTCCCGCCGAGGGAACGACGTGCTGCGGAACTGAAAGGTACGAGCACAACGGCGCGCTGCGCGATGTCACGGTGCTGTCCGCTCGCACCTGGTGGTGATGCCAGAGGCCTTGCGGAGCATGGCCAGGGCCGGGCACGGGGCGGTCCTGGCGGGTGACGCCATGTTCATGGCCCGGGAACGCAATAGTGGGGTATAGGAGTCAGCGGTGCGACGGCGGTTCCGCGAGACCAGAGCGCTGAGAGCCCCCGGCGCAGGGCTTGGTGGAGAGCGAAGCCAGCTCGGACAGCTCAGCCCGCGCGCGCCGTACCGCCCCTGCGCTGTCCGAGACGGCGAAATGATGCACTCTCCCTATCGGTGTCTGCGCCTCGCGCACGTTGGCCTCCCGTCAAGTGCGGGCGGCGCGATGAGACCAACGCTCCCACTGAGGCTCAACAGCGCTGCCGAAGGTCACGCCAGATCCGTCGCGATGTCGTAGCCGCAAACACGAGCGTGCCAGCCGCAAGCACAGCGCATGTAGCGTCGCGCCGCTGAATTCCGCACGTGTTCCTGTCCGGCTTTTACAACCCCCCCCTCTGCCAGTTCGAGCCTCGAACTGTTGTCGGCGACAACGACGTTGCGTGCAGGCCGTGGCAGACCACGCGCTCCGCCGTTCCCGCGCACGGACGTCGCGGCAGCCGGGGCCGCAGCGGATCGTCGCCTTGACAGGGGACTGGTTTGTTTGTACTTCGCCGACCTACAAGCACCCTCTGGCTTCAGAACAACACATGCGCGCCCAGTGACACATGCCCCGGTACGTAGCTTCCGAGGTCACACTCATATCGCACGAACCGCGTCGTCAGGTCCGAACGGCGTCGTGCCTGTTCGAAAAATGGATGGCAACCCAAAACGAATGGATCGCCCGTCTCCAAATGGATTTCCTGCTTGGCTCGTGGGAAGTGTGCCACGTGCGGTGCAATCGAGAGCAAAGTCGTGCTGTTCACGCGCAGATGACCAATGGTTCGCCGTCCGCAGGGAGGTTTCGGAGGCCGGTGCCATCGGAGGCCGATGATGTGTAGGATCGCAGGTTGGGGGGGGGAGGGGTGGAGTGACTCACGGAGCCGAAGAATGATCGAGGGAGGTGAGGTATGTCGGCTGCCAGGTGGCGCACGCTAACGGCTTGCATACGGCACGCAGACGTTTGGTCGGCTGGCTGGTGCATGTCATGGGTGGGAATGAGGAGGTGCACGGGGAGGGCTTCGTGGCGTGGAGGGGTGTCGGGTTCGTCGTGTGAAGCATGTACGAGGACAGCGCACGCTGAATCGACGGGTGGTTGCGTGCACGTCGTGTTGTCTTCGGTTCGTGCGAAAAACGGTCTTGAAGCTGCGTGCGGAGACGCTGCGCTGTGAGAGTGAGCTGACTGACGCCGCCGAGACGCTGGTCGTCAGTCCTAGGTGCGCCCGAAAGCACGACGCCCGGCTACGAGCATGCGCGCCTGTGGGCGTGTTGCGTCTGATGGGCGCCCATCTCGCGGTGGGCGTCGGGTGTGAGGGCGTGTGCCGCGTTGCGAACCAGTGCGTGGCTAGCGCATGCGGGAAGCCTCGACCTGGTCGAAGGCGGCATGGCAAGAAGGCGTCCACTGTCAATGTGCGCGGGGTGGGTGCCATGGTGGGGAAGAGGCGACTGACGATGCACTGAGCTAGGTGCAGCGAGCATGGTCAGATTTCGACAGGTTCCTCGGCAAAGCGCCAGGCGTCGAGCGCGAGCGCGGAGGTTGCGCACGAGAACGAGGGGGGGTTTGGTGCAAGGCATGTGCTGGCAGGGGCGCTAGAGGAGCACGGCGCCGGAGGGGATGACTTCGAGCTCGCGCACCGAGGACGCCGGCGAGCGGCGGTGCCGGTCGTCGAGGCTGCCGCGCGTGGCCAGCGTGCACCCCAGGTCCAGCTGCACCCGCAGCGCGGAGATCGACCCCCTGCGCGCGCCGTCGGCGTCGACGATCGCGGGGGGGCGATCCGTGTGCGCCGCGCCGAGCGCGCCGCCGGAGCTCGCGACGTGCCCGCGCCGCTCGCCCGCCCCGGACGCCTGCGACCCGGCCCACGAGTCCAGCACGCCAGCCCGCCGCCGCTCGCGCGAACTGACGCCCACGTCCGACGACGTCCGCAGCGAGACCCTGCTCCTGCTCGCGGCGCTGTCCATCAGCACGCACGACCCGCCCGCGACCGACCCGTGCGTCACCGACTCCAGGACGTTGATGCTGCGCACCACGTGCGGGGGCGGGGGGGGCTCCGGCACCCGCACCTCGCCCTGCTCCAGGTCGTGCATCACGGAGCTGTTGGCGAGGCGGTGCACCGCCTGGCCGCCGGCGGGCGGTGCGGGGCTGCGCCCGCTCGCGCAGCCCGTGGGCAGCGGCGGGCGCACAGGTGCAGGTGCAGGCGCGGGGGCGGCGTCGCCGGGCGCGTCGGCGGGCCGCGACTGTCCCATCGGGCTGAACACCGGGTCTCCCCGCAGCGCGAGCAGGCCGTGCGCGTCGAGCTCGCTCGCGCTGTCGAGGAACGGCGAGGGGTGTTGTTGTTGCGCGGGTGCGGTAGCCGAGGCCTGCGCGGCCGCCGCGTCCGGGATGCTCGAGGCGTTCGACGGGCCCGCGGTGTTGAAGCGCGCCCAGGGCGGGGCGTTGCGGCTGCTGTGGCCGCTGCTGCCGACGCCCGACACCTTGTGGCCGCCCTCGGCCATCCCGTGGCGCAGCGCCTCGGTGCGCATCGCGTGCTCGTCGTCGAGCATCGACCCGTGCAGGTTCCGCAGCGCCGTCACGTGCCCGCGGCTCTGCCGGTCCCCGTGCTGCAGCGCCGCCAGGTCCTGCTGGCTGATGGCGGCGCGGAGCCCCGCGGGCGTGCGCAGCGGCGCGGACGCCGCGGACAGCCCGGGCGCCGCGCACCGCTCGAGGCCGAGGATCCACGGGTGCTCGAGCGCCTGGCGCGCCGTCAGCCGCTCGCGGGGGTCCTTGCGCAGCAGGCGCGAGACCAGGTCCTTGGCCTCGGGCGAGACGCGCCCCCAGAGGTCGTCGGGGAAGGGCACCTTGGCGCGCGTGATGTTGGCCTTCCGGTGCTCCTCCGTCGTGCCCCCGAACGGCTTCCGGCCGCACAGGAGGATGTAGAGGACGCACCCGAGGGACCACATGTCGATCGACTTGTCGTACACCTGGTGCGCGATCACCTCGGGCGCCATGTACGAGAGCGTGCCGCAGGGCGTGTCGCCGCGCCACTCGTCGCGGAAGTCGCACCGCGCGAGGTCGAAGTCGATGATGCGCAGGTTGGTCTCGTCGTCGCTCTCAAACATCAGGTTCTCCGGCTTGATGTCGCGGTGCACCACGCCCATCGCGTGCAGGTGGTCGATCCCGCGCAGGACCTGCACGAACGCCGCGCGCGCCTCCGCCTCCGTGTACCGGTCCTTGCGCACCAGCGACGCGAAGAGCTCCCCGCCCGCCATCAGGTCCAGCACCAGCGAGATGTCGCCGTGCCGGTCGAAGAAGTAGTCCACCAGCCGCGGGACCGCCGGGTGCGGCGACGCGCCCACGTACTGCAGCACCGTGAGCTCGTTGTGGATCGCGCGCGACGACGCGCACGACTTGCCGTCGATGCGCTGCTTCACCGCGAACTTGCCGCCCGTGAGCAGGCAGCGCGCCTCGCGCACCACGCACGCCGCGCCCTCGCCCAGGACCGGCCCCACCTCGAACCAGTCCGCGACCTTGCGGTACACGCCGTGCTCCTTGGCCAGCGCCCGCAGCCAGGCCAGGCGCGTCCGGGGCTGCGGCGTGCGGAACGTGAAGCGCGTGCCCGAGGGCTGCCGGACGGAGAAGCCGTCGGGGAGCACGCGGATGTCGCACCCGACGAGCCGCAGCGTGAACACGGGCGCGCCGAGGGCCGCGCCGGGCTCGGGGGGCTTGAAGCACGTCACCGTGCCGCCGCGGAGGCGGCAGTGGCACGCCCTGCGAAGCAGCGATATTTGCGTGTGGGAAATCAGGGACTTCCGCGAGGGACGCCCGACGGCAGGAGCGCCGCCACGCGCGCCGTGCAACGCGGACCCCGGGCAAGCGACCACAGGGGCTGGATGGGGCCCGCGGCGCGCCACGCAGGGCGGGGAGCATGCAGCGCTGGTCAGCGGTTTGCGGCGGGCATGAACTAGGCTCGCCGGAATTCGCGTCACCAGGGCCGGGCGGGCGCCTGCGGCGCCACGGCGGCCGCAAACGTGATTCGTGAGGAGCCGGGGTGCACCTGGGGAAGGAGAACAGGCCGCGCTTGACGCTCAGGGCGCCCTCGACGACCGGCTGCACGGTGACGGTCATGGAGCGGGACTGGCCGCCCTGCAGGTTGTGGTCCCGCGGTGTGTCCGAGCTGCACGACGCAGGGAGGCGCGGGCGGAGGCTGCAGGTGAGGGTTCCCGCACTGGACGTGCGCGACCGCCGGGGAGGGGGGCGGAACGCTCGCCCGCGGGCGCGCGGGAGGGGGGTGGGGGCAATGTAGACGCGTGGCTGGGGCCCGTCGTGACGGAGGGGTCGCGCTGCGCGGGCGCCGGGCCGAGCAGTTGGGCTGCAGGGGCACCGGAGGGGGGAGCCGTCGCCGGGGCCTGGCGAGGCTGACGCGGGGCGGTGGCGCCCTGGGTCGGCGGCAGGTGATCGGAGGGTCCGGGGCTGCGCTCTTGACCGCCGGATAGGGGCGGGGGAGGCGCGGGAGGCGGAAAACCAGGCGGGCAGGGAAACGAGCGGCAAGTACGTGCCTCGACGCGCGAGGGCTACCAACGGACAGCTTTGCGCGCCTTCGGGGGACCATGCGACCATCGTCGTCGCGTGCTGCGGCGGACAGCCTCGCCTCGGCCCAACACTGGGCGGGAGCGGGAAGGAAATACCGCCGAGTCCGTGCAGGCCGCGCCACAGCCGTCCGCAGGCTCCGCGGGCTATGCGTCTTCGTGGGTGACGGGAGAAAGATGCGGGCGGGCGACCGAAGCCGCGTCGTGCGCACCTCTGGAGGCTACCGGACCCCAACGCCCTAGGAGCACTTGCCGCTCCGAGTTTCGCCGCTGGGCGGCTTCCCGCCGATTCGGCGTGTTGCATCATCATCATTGCGCTCGCCGCTTCGGAGCAGCCCCAGCCGGCATGCATCTCGTCTCCTCTCGACCTCAGGGGGCCACCATCGTCGTCTCTCGCTCGCACGGCAGCGCCTGGACAGTTCAGGCCGTACGTGCCGTGTGCGATGAACAGTGGTAAACTGACCGACCGCCCGCTGGCGCGCCGGCCTTGCCTCCGCGGCGCACGGCCCCGCCAGGCCGCCCGTGTCCTTTTGGGACCGAGTCCTTTTTGCACCAGTCTGATTGCCTCGGATGCGCGCGACAGGCCCCGCGCCACCCCCGCCCTCACGCTCCAGCGCAGCCTCGAATTCATACCTGCACGCCCCGCAACCCCAGCCGCGACCGAACACGCCGCCGGCTGCACCGCGCCGCGATCCCTCCAGGGGGTAGCTGGCCACCCCTCCCCTCCCCTCCCCGGTCCCGTCACGCGCCGCGCTCTCACGCGGGGCCCGCTGAGCGCCCTCCGCCCGCCACCGCCTCGTCCACGCACCGGCGTGCGCTGCGGCGCCCCCCCACACCCGCGATTCGCACCTTCTTGTCCTCCGTCACCTCGTGCGGCCTTGCGAGCCCGCTCCCGACGCGCGCTGCCCCCGGCGACCGAGCCCAGCGCCTGAGCACATCGGGGCAGGTCGGTCCCCCGCGCGCCGCGAGCTCCGACGCCGCAGCGACCCGCCGCGCGCGATGCAAATCCCTCATATGGGAATTCGCTCTCAGACCCGCACACCCCCGGCGCTACCGTCACCGGGCCGGGACGACGCCGGTGCCGTGCGTGCCCGCGTGTCCGCGCGGTCGCCGTCACCTCGCGGCCCGAGAGCGAGCCGCACGGGCCGCGGGGGCGTGGCTTCTGTGCCTCCCCGCGGCCGCGGCTGCCGTGCCCTGCCGCGCGGCGGGGAAGCCCTGCCACGGAAATCGACGCGTACTCCTCATCGTGCTCGACCACCCCGGGCACTCTTGACAGGGGAGCGCACCCTCGCCCGGGCTCTGCGCCCGCCCAAGTCGCGCCACCCCTGCCGCTCGCGGCGGCGTCTGCCCGGCGCGAGCGGCGCGATCGGTCGCGCGCGGGCACGCATCCCCCACAGTATTGCGCGCTCATGGCGCGCCGACGTCGGTTCCCTCGCCCCACGCGCAACTAGGCCGTGCTACCTACTGCCAGGTAGGTAAGGACTCACCCCCCAGCCGAGTCCGGCTCTGCGCGCGAGACGGCGCCGTAGCGGGCGCCGCGCGCGGCGGCGGACCACTACTCGCTACGCCATCTCTGCGCGCCCCAGACCCGGGCGAGAGACATCACATTGGTGAGCGCGGCGCGCCCGTGGTGCGCTGCACAGCCAGATGCCGGCGCGCGGGGCCGGCATCTGCCCGCACCCAGGCCCCTCACGGGCCCGGGTGGCATATTTATGCGTCTTGACGACCGTGTGCGCGCTCCTCTCGGCATTTGCCTCTCCAGGTGCGCGCGCCCGCCGATCTGAGCACCACCGCGCAGCGCGCACCCGCGCAACGCGCGGCGGGGGGGCCGAAGCGCAGTCGAGCCCGCCGCTGCGCCTGTTCCGGCGCCGAGCTCCCTCCCCGCGATCGTCCTAGGGCACACCCCCGCGCCCCCACGGCGCCAGCGCGGCGTGCCTCCCGCGATGGTTGTGCCCAACGGCCTCCGGGCCCGCGCCCCGCCGCGACACCCGCCGCACGCGCGGCGCGGCACCGCGCACGACCGCCGACCCACCCCCCGCCGCGCACACTCCCGATCCCCGCAGCGCTCGCCGCGAAGGCCTCGTGTGCGCATGAGGCGCTCGAGGCCGAGGTCGAGGCCCTCTACACGAGCCACGTCAGCGCGCCCGCCCAAACCGCCGCGGACGTCCACCTGCAGGCCAGGTACGCCGTCCCCTGCCCGCGGCGGCCGTGGGGCGCGCGCGTGCGGGCCCCTACACCCCGGGTTCGCCGCCGGCCTGCGCCGCAACCTACCCTCGGCCTGGACGGCGCGGGCGCGGCGCGCGCACGCGGGGACGCCCCGCTCGTCCTCCGCGGGCGGTGCCCGCGACCCGCGCTCTGCGAATCCGCCGAGACGGAAGCAACTTGTCCCCGCGCTGCGCCGCAGGGGCGCTGGAGACGCATCGGGGCTGGCCGGCAACGCCGGCACGGGGGGCGGCGGGCTGCGCGTGGCGCTGGACTTCCAGCTCGGGGGCCTCGCGCCGTCGTTCCGGGAGACGCTCACGGGCACCATCCTGCCCCGCGTCGTCGCGAAGCTGTCGCGCACCCTCGCCCCTCGCCGCCCCACCCAGGGCACGCTCTTCCTGCCGCGCACGTGCGAGACGGTGGACCAGAGCACCGGCCAGTGCAGGTGGGCGCGCGCCCACACCGCCGAGCGTCTATCGCGCTGCTCTGCCGACCAACATCTCCCGCAATTGCGCGACGGAGAACCTCGTGCCACAACTGCCTAGCCCATGACACAATCAGCCTCCGTCCGCGCGTTGCCGACCCGGCGCGGGCGCCCGGGGTGCCGCGCGCTGGCGCTCCGATGTACGCCGACGCCCTGCGCGGATCGCGGCCCCCGCGGCAGCCTGCTCCGGAGGCGGTGGGCGCCGCGATCTGGGCCGACGATCACGACGACGGGCGCCACGGAGCGCTCAAGAGAGCCTGCCCCGCGCCCCGCGTCCTGCAGGGAGCTGAAGCCGATCGGGAACTGCTTCTTCGCCCAGCACGAGCCCTCGTACTTCTCGTCCGCGCGCGTGTGCGACTCCACGGGCGCCTGCACGGACTCGCCGCCGGGCGCGGGCGTGCCGGACGCCGACGTGGTCCTGTACGTGACCGCGGAGACGAGCATCGGGTCGCAAGTGCTCTGCGACGGCGGGTTCTCCGCGTTCGGCGCGCCGTGCTCCTTCGACAGCACGGGGCGCCCGCTCGCCGGCGTGGTCAACCTGTGCCCGCGCGACCGCGCCTTGCCCGACGCGGAGATCGGGCAGACCGTCGACCTGGTCCTCCACGAGGCCCTGCACGCGCTCGGGTTCAGCTCGGCGTCGCTGAGCCGCTTCGTGGACGGCGACGGGGCCCGGGTTCCGCGCTCGCAGGTGGTGCAGAACGTCGGCGGGCGCAACTACGTGGTGACGCCCGGGGCGGCGCAGGCCGCGCGGGACCAGTTCAGCTGCCCGGAGCTGCCCGGGGCGGCGCTGGAGAACGACGGGTCGAGCGCGACGCTCTCGTCGCACTGGGAGGCGCGCCTGCACGACAACGAGCTGATGCTGGGGGCGACGGAGGGGCGGAGGGCGCTGCTGTCGCGGCTGACGCTCGCGCTGCTCGACGACTCCGGGTGGTACGACGTGGACGTGGAGTCCGGTGCGATGCTGCAGTACGGCCTTGGCGCCGGATGCGGCGTGGTGGAGGCGCGCTGCGGGGTCGACGACCAGGCGCTCCGGGACCTGGGGCTCGTGTGCTCGCCGTCGGAGGAGATGACGTGCTCGTACGACCACCTGACGTACGGCGACTGCCGCACCACGCTCTTCGCGGACGGGTGCCCGCAGGTGGTGGCCAGCGACCAGGGGGAGTGCCAGAACGAACTGCGCCAGGGGTCGCTCGGGGACCTCGGCATGCACTACGGCGCGTACTCGCGCTGTCTGCCCCTCCAGGTGCGCGCAGGCTCCCGCCCCGCCCGCTCGACTCGACCCGCTGCGTGCCCGCACATCCACCTGCGCGCCTACTCCCCTCCCACTCCTCCTCTTCCTCCCGTGCGCTCGCAGCCTGGAGGCATCCGCAGGCGCGGGTCGCGGTACACCGAGCGCGCGGGCTGCTTCCGCACCAGCTGCAGCGGCGGCCAGCTCATGGTGTCCGTGGGGGGGTCGGCTCCCTTCGCGTGCCCCGCGGGCGAGACGGTGGACCTCGCGGACGTGTCGATCTTCGAGGGCACCATCGGGCCCTGCCCGGACTCGTCGACCATCTGCCCCTCGCTGTCCTGCCCCGACGACTGCAGCGGCAACGGGCAGTGCATCGCCGGCAAGTGCGAGTGCTACCTCGGGCACCGGGGCTCGAACTGCGCCGCCGTGGACTCCACCTCGCTGAACGTCGTATCGCAGGGCGCCGCGTCGACGGGCACGGCGTTCTCCGGCGACGGCGCCAGCGGCGAGGGCCTGAACGACTCCACGGTGACGCTGGCGGTGGTCGTGGGGAGCTCGGTCCTGGGCGCCGCGTCGATCGGGGTCGTGATCGCCGCCTTCGTGTACCTGCGAAAGCTGAAGAGGGACGAGGAGAAGGCGAAGCAGGCGCGCAGGGAGGAGCGCGCGCAGAAGCGGGCGGCCATCGAGGCGCGCAAGATGCAGCGCAACGCGTCGGACAGGACGGGCAAGGAGACGGAGGGCGCGTCGCGCCCCACGAAGGACCTCGGCACGGAGGGCCGCACCGCCTCGACGCAGCTGCGGCCCTCGTACCCGCTGGCGACGCACCAGAGCGGGCAGATCGTGCGGCCGACGCTCCCGGAAGACTGGCGCGAGACGCAGATGCGCACCACGATGCCGCTCACGTACGGGGATCCGTCGCCCAGCAGCCCGGACGTGCGGCGCGGGCACCGCGGGTCGCAGGGCCGGGGCGACCAGCGCGAGTCGCAGGGCGCGGTGCCCGGGCGCGTGCAGCGCGTGTCGCGGCCCATCTCGTCGAGGTTTTCGCAGGAGGACATCCGGCGGCCCGTGGTGCCCCTCGAGCATTACGCCTCGCCCGTGGCGGGGTCGCGCGCGGAGCGGAGATCCCCGGAGGACTCGCCGCAGGTGGTCGACCTTGGCATGCCCGGGGAGGTGGAGCTGCGGCCGCACCGCATGTCGGGCGCGCAGGGGGCGCAGATGTGGTCCCGGGAGTCGTCGCCGCCGCACGCCGCGCCCGCCGTGCCCCCGCGCGCGCTGACGGAGGAGGACAGGCAGGACAGCATTTTCGACTGAGGGGCCGGTCCGTCTTGGCGGGCGCGTGGCCCCGGCCGCCGCTGGGACACGGGCGCGAGTGGGCCACCGTGCGCGCTCGGAGTTGCACGTTGCGGCGTCGCCGTGCAAACGTCGCCACTGCATGCCACCTGCTCTGAAGGCTTTCGGCTTTCGAAGCAGCAGACTTGCCTTCGCTACAGACCTATCGCCGCAACATCACGCGGCATCGTTAGACAGAGCCGCCGCTCCGACCCTCCCCCCCCCCGCCTCCCGGCCAGCCTGGAGACATTTCCTCCCTGCCATTCTGTTCCGTTCCCATACAACCTCACCGTTGAAGGACCCACCAAGCCAGCACTGGTTGGGATCCGTTTTCGAGCTGCGGCGGCGGGTCAGGCTCGATCGAAGCCGTGATTCCAGGGAAGAGTGCAGGCCTGGGGTGACGCTGCTAAGGGAGTCGCTGATCATGCTACTCTCGCGGCAAACCGTGTGACCGTGATGCGCACCGCGGCCCGTCGCCGCCGGATTCAGAGAGTCCGGGAAATCACATTCCATGTTTGTTGAACAGAGCTCGCGCCAGTCGTTCCGAACTGCTTGTCTGAATACGTGAGCTGGCATCACGCTCGCAGCACGTGCTGCGCCGGATAAGATGCTGCTAGGGTGGAGCCGAGCGGGAGGACGCTGACGGCCGTGTCGCGCGTGCACGTTCCGCGTGTTGCGTCCTTGAGATGATGCAGGTTCTTCGCACTGATTCATATTTATTTATAGTTTCGTGCATGATGTGTCCTTGGCGGCGGCGGGACACACGTCCTCGCCGCATGACTCGCAGCCGCCGCGCTCGCCTGCCGCGCTGCACGCGAGCGGCGCCTCGCGTGACCGATGTGTGCTGTTGCGCGTCGCCCCGCCTACACCAGCGCGTAAACGTCCCCGCCCTCGATGTGGACGGATTCCATGCGCTCCAGCGCGTGCAGGACGGCGCGGACGTGCGCCGCCCTGAACCGCGACTTGCACTGCCCGACGACGCGCTCCACCAGGGATTCTGTCGGGAGGCACAGGCCCGGCGATCCCGAGAGGATTTCCGCGATCGCCTCCTGCGCGTGGTCGTGGCGCAGGACGTGCTCTTGGTTCGAACCGCCGGCACGTTGCGGCGTCAGCAGCTCGCCCTGCACAGCGGAGGTGGTTGCGTGGGGGTGCAATCGCGCGCGGACCTGGATCTCCTGAACCTCGTGCTCCTCGAGGAGCCGCGTGTCGTCGTCGCGAGCCTCCGTGATCGGCGTGCCTCGCGGGACAGCCTGCGTGCGCCGCGTGCGCGGGGCGGTCACGGGTGCACCCTCCTGCTGGTCCGTCGCCGCGTTGGGGGGCGCGGACGGGCCGCCGACGGCGCGGATCTGGGCGTTCAGCGGCTTCTTGATCCGTTTCTTCGCGCGCAGGGACGTCGCCGAGCAGAACTCGGACCCCGAGAGGCCGGGAGCGCCATAGAGGCTGACGCCGCGTCTCTTGAGCGCCAGGAAGACGTGCAGCGGTCTCACGGTCATAGACCTGCGCGATCGCGGAGAGAGAAGAGCTGCACATGCGTCAGGCAACCTCTCGTTGGCCGGTGGTCACGCACAGGAGGCCCGCCCGCAGTTGCCGCCGCTGCCCGGCTGACCGCCCGCACGCGCCGTGGGGGGCACGAAAGAGCGCCGCGGGGGTTCATTCTTGAATATTCACCCAAGTACGAGTCCGGACGGGCAGCAGGCGCACGTCGCGTGGCCCGCGCACGTCGCGCTGGGCGACCCGCCATTCCAGGCAGGACAGAGGTGCTCTCTTGCCTGGCGTGCTCGGCGAGAGTGACGGTATCCTTGATCACGCTCGACAGCCAGGCCCTCAGGGTCTCGTTGGTGGTCTCGTAGACCTGCCCCGCGATCCGCTTCACGCCCCCGCGCCGCGCAAGGCGCTTGACGTCCCCAGTGGAGAGGCCCGCCCTCCCCTCCCGGCGCTGGTGCCGCTTAGGACCGCCCCGGCCCGGCATCTCGCGGGAACTGCCTGCGAATTCTACGTGTCGGCCGCCGCTGGCGGGCGAGCGTCGCCGGACGACGGCGCGCACGGGTGCCGAGCACCACGGAAGCCCGCCCAACCTCTCAGCGTGTTCGCAAGGTCGCTCTGGGAAGACCCTCGATCGAACCCAGCGTGGCACTGGAACGTCCGGTGCCCGGGGGCAGGCATCAGGCCGCCCCAGCGCACCCGGGGGGGCGTGTCAGCCAGACTGGGAGGTGTTGGGCGCGACCGCCGGCGCGACGTTCACAAACCACCGACGTCACCACCACCGGACACGAGTCTGCTGCCCGCGGTCCTCCTCCTCGTCCAGCGCGTCGTCCGACGCCCCTCGCACCAGCAGTATCGCCCTGCGCACCCACCCGTGCACTCCCCGCGGCCGCGACGACACCACCCCGCCCCCCGCGCGCCCCTCTGTCCCGTTCCCGCTCAGCCCAACGTCCTCCGCCGTGAGCCCCAGCGCCTCGAGCCCAGGCGCTGCACCCTGCACACACAACTGTCGCTTCGCTCATGTCAGACCTGGGAATCACCGTGCGCGACGGGACGCCGGCGAGCGCTCGCGGCCGAGTCCTCGCCTGTGAGTGCGTGCCGGCTATGTCCAGCACTCGCAGGACCCTCCCCACCGCCATCGGCAGCTCCGTCTCCAGCGCCCGCACACACTCCCGCAGCGCAAACCCAACCCGCCCCGGACCCGCACGCGCGCGACCCGCCGCGCCCCGCGCAGCACGCGCCGCGAGCGAACCCTGCTCCTGCATCTGCGCGGTCAGCCACGCCGCGCCCCGTCCCGGGAGCTTCGCTGCCTCCTCCAGCAGCGCCTGCAGCTCCTGCTTCGTCTGCACGAGCGGCGCCTGCGACGGGACGGCGGGGGGGCGCGGGTGGGAGGAGGACGTCGCGGGCGTCGTGGAACAGGGCGGCGGGGTGCCCGACGACGACGGCGGGGTGCCATGCCGAGCGACGGAACGTTGCTCGTCTGACGGGTCGAAGACGGGCGTCGCATCTCGATACCTCGTCGTGCGGTGCCCCCGCGTGCTGTACGATCGGCCCGGCGGGGTGGCGGCTTACCTCGAGCACGGCGTCGAAGAGGTCGCCCAGCTGCGGGAAGGCCTGGAAGAGGCGCGTGGAGCACGTGGCCAGCACGAGCATGCCGTGGCCACGCGCGGTCTCCTGGCGCAGGTGCGATCGCAGCGACGACAGCAGGTGGCCCGCCGCGACCTCGTCCCGCGCCGAAACGTGGTCCACGGCGGTGTCCAGGTCGTCCAGCACCACCAGCGAGTGCGTCTCCCGGTGCGCGCGCGACAGCGCCTCCGCGATCCGCCCGATCTTCTGCTGCCCGCCGCGCGCCCCGGCGTCCCAGATGTCCTCCGGCCCGTCCGTCACGACGTCGACGAACGAGTAGAAGGGCATGGCCTCCAGCGCAACCATCGCCGCCAGCGCCGACTTGCCGGACCCGCTCGCGCCGTGGATCAGAACGCGCGTCGCGCGCTGCCTGCTCGCAGCGCTCGAGTGTGCGCCGCCTCCCGAGCGTGCGCCCCCGAAGCCGGCGTCCTGCCCGACCGCAAACGTGGAGCGCGGCCGCAGCAGCCCTGCGCGGAAGCCCTCCCCGTCCGCCGCATCGCCGTTCTCGGCCACGTTCTCCCTCTCCGTGGTTCGTCGGGGCGCATCGTCCACCGCGGCGGACGTCGGCGCCGCCTGCCGCAGCTTCCTGCGCACCCGCTGCGCCCGCGTCGCATCCAGCTCCCACGTGTGGAACTCCGCCGGCAGCCCCCGCGCGTGCGCCACCACAAGTCTCAGCGTGTCCACGGCGCGGTCGACGCGCGGGGCGAACCGCACGAGGCCCGGCCCCGCCATCTGCGACAGCTTCGCCTCGGCATCCACCTGTGCCGGCACCACCTCCGTCAGCGCGCGCTCCACGTCCGCCCACGTCAGCCGCAGCGACGACGCGAGCTCGCTCTCGTACTCGCGCTCGCTCCCGCCGCGCCCCTCCCCGTCCATCGTCCGCTGCACCGCGTGTGACGCCGCGCTCTTCACCAGGCCCTCGAGCTCCGCACCGGTGTACCCCTCGGTCAGCGACGCCAGCACGGCGAGGTCGATGTCCTCCGCGACCAGCCCGGCGTCGGCCATGTCGCGCGTGTGCACCGCGAGGATCTGCCGGCGCCCATCTTCGTCCGGCATCGGCACCTGGACCTGGATGTCGAACCGGCCGGGCCGCAGCAGCGCCTTGTCGATGAGGTCGCGACGGTTCGTGGTCCCGATGACGAGCACGTTGGGGAACTCCCCCATCGCGTCCATCCGCGTGAGGAACGTGTTGGTGATGCCGTCGTACACCCGGTCGGGCGCGGTGCCGCCGCCCGTGCGCGGCTTGACCAGCGCGTCCAGCTCGTCGAAGATGATGAGCTGCACGCGCCCGGGGGAGCGGTCCGCAGCCTCCGCGGCCTGGTCGAACACCTCGCGCGTCTTCTCTTCGCTCTCGCCCAGGAACTTCGACAGGATCTCCGGCCCCGACACCACGCGCACCGTCTCCGCCGACAGCATGCGGCCGATCGCGCGGGCGATCGTGGACTTGCCGACGCCCGGACGCCCGTGCAGGAGGATGCCCCGCACGGGCGCGATGCCCAGGGACCTGACGAGCGCGGGAGGGAGGACGCGCGTGGCGAACGCTCGGCGGACGATTTCGCGCATCTGCTCATCTACGCCGCCGAGGCCAAAGCGCGCGAACGCGCCGCTGTCGTCGCTGAACACCGGCCAGTGCGCGACGAGCGAGGTGGTGTTCGCGGTGGTGTTGTGCTGCACCAGCGACGCCAGCGGACCCGACACGTCCAGAACGAGGTCGTGTGCGCCGGGCTCGTGCGGCGTGATGCGCACGGTGCGGTTGAATCCCGCGCTTGCGCTGAGGTTGAAGCACGACGGAGATATCGTCGCAGAGGTCCCGTTGACGGTGGTGAGGCGCACCGTGAGGTACGCGCCGGGGCTGGGCTGCAGCGGCGGGCCGTCGGAGCCTGCATCTGTGAGCCTCAGGCCGTCCGCGGGGCCGCCGGCGCTGACGCGCCGCAGCAGCGCCTCGAGGAAGGCCCCTGCTGTGTTGCTGGTCGCCTCCCCGGACCGCCCTTCGTTTGGATCTGGATGCTCGTCTGCATTGCATTCCTGCCCCGCCTCGTCCGTGATCGTCGCGTTCTGCTCGCCCGAACAAGCCCGCCAGCCGGCCTTGCGCGCCTCCCGCACCGCAGCGTCCAGCGCTGCGCCCATGTCGACCGTCGCCGCGATCTTCGCGAAGCCCTCCGCTGCCGCCGGCTGTATGGATATGGCCATGTCGACGGTGTGGTTCAGAAACGCCATCGGCGCCGACCGCGGCAGCCGCAGCCGGAGTCTCGGCACGACGATCACCCGCGTCGTTGAGCTGTTGAAAACGACCCCTCCTCCTGCGGCCAGAATCCGAGTCGACGCAAGCGGGTCTAGACTGACTGCGAAGAGCTAGTGGAGCGCGGGGGCAGGGACAGAAACGATCGTCTGACCTGACAGCAGTCGCTTGGCAGTCCCCTCCTTGTTCAAACCCCAGTGAATGTCCCGGAAGCAAGGCGCGCCGAGGGTGCAGTCGCTCGCGTCGCTCATCTCTACGGTCACGTTGAGCTGCAGCGGCGGGCGTGACGTCGCCGTGAGGGCGAGCTGCGCGGCGCTGAACACCAGGTCCTCGCCCAGCAGCGCCAGCGACACGTCGTCCGCGTGCGAGACCTGCAGACCGCAACGGTGCAGGGCGTCGAGTCACGCTCGCAGGGGGGGCGCACCGCAATTACGCACCGTGGCGGCTGTATGTCAACAGTGTCGCACCTCTACAGACACGTTCCTTGTCTCTCCGGGCGCGAGCACGATGACGTCGGGGGGTGTCACGACCACCGGGCGCCTCAGCACCACGTCGCGGGGTGCAGGAATCTTCGGAAGCGCCTTGTCGTGGCAGTCAGCCGCCGTCACCACGTGCGCCTGTTCGCTGCACCTGGCCTCGAATCTCACCCGCAGGTTGACCGCGACCGGCGCCGGCCCGTCCACGCCCGCGTGCACCACGTCGTCCTCCGTCGCGGCCTCGAACACCCCCGCACATTCCGCCGCTGTGTCAGACACGAGGTGAAACGGGAGCACGCCCGCTGAGCCGGGGTCGTCCTCCGCCCCCTCGTCCGGAGCGCTCCACAGCTTGAGCACCGGCGGCTCCGCGCGCACGCAGCCCGCCGGCACGGCCTCCCAGCCGCCCCCCTCCACGCCAGCGTCCCCCTGCCCCGTGCCCGCCCACGTGCCCCACGCGCCCCGCCCCTCGGCGGCCGCCTTCCGCCCCGGCATCCTCCGCCGCGACCCGTCCCCGAGCACCGCGGCCCGCCGCTGCTCGCCCACCACTGCCACCTCCACCAGCGGCGCCGCGCCACGCTCCCGGAACGGCGACGCCGCCTTGTACTGCCGCGAGCGCCGGCCCGCGACGACCGAGTCCATGGCCGCTGGCGTGACGAGCACCGCCCCGACGGGCTCCACCCGCAGGTCGAACGGCTGCGGGCGCATGTACACGATGCGCGTCGTGGCAAACACCCCCAGCTCGAGACGAAAGTCCCCCGTCACGTTCGAGGTGACGCGGAACTCGCGCGTCCGCGGGCCGTCCTGGTCGAAGGTCAGCGGGTCTGGCTCGATGCTCAGGCCCGCGCCGTCGAAGGGCTCGAAGGTGGGCGCGTCGCTCGCGGCGGGCTGGTGGGGGTCAGCGGGGACGGCGCGGAACCACTGAGGCACCATGCGCAGCGTAGCCGGGGAGTTGATCGTGAACGGGATCCATGGCGTTGCTCGGCCCTGCACGAGGACCAGGTTCCGGGCCTCTTCCGGCACAGTGAAGTAGTGATAAAACTCCTCCTCTCCCTGCGCAGTCACCCGAGCGCATGGCGACGTTTTTCCGGGAACGCGTGCGGGCGATGATGGAGCGCAGCGCGGTCGCTCGTGAATCCGGCACCGGCGTCGCATCGACAGCTCAGCCGCAGCGTTCTCCTGCGACGCCCGACCACGGCGCGCCTGCACGTCCTCACCTGCGTCGCTGTCGCGAGCCACAGACAGAGGACGACGATGCAAGCGCACCACCGGTGCTGCCACATGTCGACACGCCTTGTGCCGCAGCCCGAGCGACCGCCTACGCACACCACCTTTGCTGGCCGTCAGGGCCCTTAATTACGGCGTATCATGTCGTGCCGCAGCAACCAGGTAAACAAGCACCTGTGCATGCCGGCGCCTCCGCTCGAGGACCTTCAGCGGCCCTGTCGGTCGCCTGAAGTCGGTCGGAAGCAGGGAGGTCCGCGGAGTCCTCCCGAGCGCCCTTCGGGCCCCGCCCGCGCGCCATGGCCTTCCCGCCCGCGCGTCCGGGCACACAAAGACCCACGTTCGCTCGCTGGTTGGATATCCGTCGCGTCACTGTTCCCCCTCGCTCCCCCCCGCGAGGTGAAGGAACAGCACTAGTTGATCGCCGCGAACCAACGGGTCACGCACGGAAAATACAGCGTTCCGGACGTCGTACGCTCTAAATATAGGCCCCACGATACGTTCGACTGCGCGAGGCGTCCGGACAGGAGCGCGAGCACGTCGCAGCGAGCGCAAGCAGGTGGAGCGGTGCAGGATGTGCACGTCCGTCCGGCCCTGATCGGCATGGAAGACCACGCGAGGATCGCCGCGCCGCCGGTGACCTCGGCAGAGGTGAGCGCCGCCCTCCCCGCCCGCCAGCGCCCCCCGCGGCCCCCGCACGAGCGAGCGCCAGGCGCGACCACCGTGCGCTCGCCCGGGGCTCCGACCGCCCGCGCCCGCGGCCTCGCCGCCAACGCCGCGCGCGCCGCACCCTCGCGCCGCACACCCTCCGTGCTCCCGCCCGCCCTCCCGGAGCCGCGGGCGCGCTCGCTTCCGCCTCGCGCGCCGCGCCTGACGCCCACGCCGTGCTCTCGCTCCCGGGGCATGCGTTCGAAACTCCCGCCGCGCCCGCACTGCCGCCCGCCCTTGCGGACGACCACCGCCGCAGCGCAGCCTCCCGGACTGGCCACACCGGCCCGGGGCCCCGCGCGCGCGCCGGAGCCCCGCGGCGCGTCGCAACGCCCGCATGGGCCCAGCGCCGCCCGAACCGGGTCGCGCGCGCGCACGGGCGGCCGTCGCGCGCCGCGACCCGCGCGCCGCGACCGGGAGACAGCGTCCTGCGCCCCCCGGCGCGCCCCGGCCGCTCACCCTGCACCTGCCGCGCGGCGGGGCGGTGCACTTTCCGCGTCCTCGAGCTTGCACTGAGATGAGACTCTCCGCGGGCTCCTCCGACGCGTGCGCGCGCAGGTCGGGCCGGACCCGAGGCGGAGCGAGGGGAGCGGGATGCCAGGGTGTCAATGCAGGGGGTGCGGGGCCGCGTGGGGCGGCGCGGCGGGCGGGTCGGGGGCACGAGACTGCGCGGGCGCAAGTTTCTGGCACGGCGGGTGGCCGCCGGGGGGAGGGGCGGAGGCGATGCGCGGTCGCGCGCGCGGGGCCCGCGGGCGTGCAGTGGCGGCGTGGGGCGGGTTCCGGGCCGCGCTGCTGCTGCTGGCGGGCGCGCTGGCGGTGCTGGTGCCGGGCGCGGTGGCGCAGGCGAGCACGTCGACGCTGTCGGCGCTGTCCACGAGCCTCTGCGGGGACGGGTCGATCGGGCGGCTGAACGAGGCGTTCTCGCCGTCGACGACGTCGTACACGGCGACCGCCATCCACGAGTGCGCGCTGCACAACTACGCCACGGCGGGGACGGGCGTGAGCGACCTCTTCATGACGGTGAACTTCACGTGCAGCGCGAGCACGTGCAGCCAGGTGCGGGTCATCAACAGCGCCGACGGCGCAGTGTCGACCCCGGCGCTCTCGTCGGGGTCGGGGAGCCAGGCTGTCGCGCTGCTGGTCAACGTCGCCACGGGCGTCGGCGACCCCGCGACGATCACCGTCGAGGTCACGTCCCAGGACGGCACCTCGCGGACCAACTACACCATCGGCACCGCGCGCCCCGGCCGCAGCACCGCCGACCGGCTCCTCTCCCTGCGCATTGAGAGCGTGGCGCCCGCGGACGCCGGCTTCCCGTCCAGCGGCGTGCTGTACAAGGACCCGGGCGACGGGACCGTCGGCACGGTCGGGTTCGACCCCGCCTCGCTGAACTACCTCGTCGAGGTGGACCCGGACTACACCAGCTTCGGCGTCAACGCCACGCTCCAGGGGCCCTTCCAGCGGCTGTTCGTCAACTTCGCGAACGAGCCCAAGGACTCCACGTTCTGCCCGCTCGAGAACCCGCCACCGGGCGTCGATGCACGGTGCTACACCACGGGCGCCGCCCCGGGGATGCGCGCCAACAAGACCACGGTGCGCCACCCGCGGCAACGCATCCCCCCGCCCCGCTCGCCGCGCCCCCGCCGACGCGGTCCATCGGTCCCGCGCGCTCCCTGGCTGAGACGCGTCCCCAACCCCCGCTCCATGCCCTCGTCTCCGCAGATCCCGTACTCGCTGGCGTCGTTCCAGGGGTCCGTCCAGACGCTGCTGGTCGAGGTGCAGAGCCAGGCGCACCAGCCACGGAGCGGGCTCGCGCTGTTCAACACCGCCGGGAAGACGCTGTACACGATCAAGGTCCTGCGGCGGGCGCGCGCCACCGACAGCGCCCTGCTCGGGCTGGCCATCTCCTCCGCGGGGACGAACCCGAACGTCACGACGCCGCTGAGCATCCCGTTCTTGCCCATCCTCACGGCCGGCGCGACGCACTCGGCGAGCGCGCTGTTCCGGCAGCCCCAGGTGCAGTTCACGCCGACGGTGCAGGCCACCTCGGGCCGCACGCCCGCCGTGTCGCTGACGGACCACCGCAACCGCGCCAACATCACGCTCGCGAAGACCGGCGGGAGCGCCGTGCGGCTCATCTCGACCGAGCTCGGCGCCGCCCTCCCGCTCGACGTGGGCAGCAACACCTTCACGCTCACCTCGGTGTCCGAGGACGGCGCGTCGACCGCGACCTACACCTTCGTGATCACGCGCGCGGCGCCCAACACGGACGCGCGGCTCGCGGGGATGACGCCCGACACCGGGTGGGTCGCGCCCGAGGGCACGGACGGGTCGACGGGGCGGCTGGACACCCCCAGCGCGCTCTGGCAGCCCGAGCTGGCCAACCACGTGGTGCGCGGGCCGCACAACTTCACGTACCTGTCGGCCGCGGTCGCGCCGAGCGTGGCGACCATCCGGCTCAAGCCGCGGTGCAGCGGCGTCGTCGCGGGCGGGGAGGTGTGCACCATGCTCGTGGACGGGGCCTACGTGCCGCCGGGGAACTTCTCGCAGGCGATCGCGCTCCCGACGCCCGCGGCGTGGCCGGTGCCGTCGGTCACGAACATCACCGTGACGGTGCTGCCGGAGGACCGCTCGCAGCCAAACCGCACGTACTACGTCGCCGTCCTGCGCGCCGCCGTCGAGCCCGCGGCGTCCTTCTTCTATCCCTACCTCCAGGTGACGTCGCCCGTGACGAACGCCACGCTCGGCGTCACCCCGGGCCTCCAAGTCGTGGGGTCCTCGCTGGTGGTCCCCGAGGAGCTCGGGCTGGAGGCTGGCGCGGGGCAGCTGCACAAGGTCGAGGTCAACCAGACGAAGTGGGACCTCGAGCTCGGCGGGGCGCTAGCGTCGATCAAGGGGGACTTCTCGGCGGTCCCGCGCGTTCAGGCGAACGTCACGCTGGCGGACACGGCGGGCGTGTTGCCGCAGGTCAACCTGAGCGGGGCGCTGCCGACCGAGACGAACGCGACGCTGATCGCGATCTACGGCGCCGGCGCGATGTCGCCGGGGATCTGTTCGGACGGGTTCCGGTGCATCCTGAACCTGTGCGTTCCCGCGGGGGCGGCGCCGTTTGACGCCAGCGGGATTCTGCAGACCCGGCTGTACGCGCGGTGCAGCAAGGTGGTCTCGCTGGCAACCAACATCACGACTGCGGCGGCGTTCAACCTGACGGGCACGGTCGACGGCGTCCCGGTGCGCGTCGGCACGACGACCCCGGTGTTCAACGAGACGGTGGTCAACACGACCTTCACCGGCAACGCGACGGTCAACAGCACGACCACGACGGTGTCGTTCCGCGTGTTCACGCCGTCGTACTTCCGGGACCCGGCGCGCGACGCGCCGTACACGTCGCTGGTGTGGCAGGTCGTGCACTCGCGCATGCAGGTCAACAGCTCCGTGCTGCTGGCACCCGCGAACGTGACCGCCGCGGGCCCGCAGACGCTGCGCGTGGACGGTCGCGACCGCTTCGGCAATCCCGTGACGGGCCTGCGCCGCGCGTACGCCACCGGGCAGCTCCAGGCCAACATCTGCCGCCAGCAGCTGGTGGGCGACCTGGACCCCCTGCGCGCGCTGGAGGGCGACCTCTCGCGGTTCATCCCGAACGGGAGGGACGCCGCGCCGAACAACTCGGACGCGCACGTGCTGCACGTCCGCCCGGGTGGGTTCCAGGCCTACTTTGCCTACATCGAGACGGTGCCCAGCCTGCTGCTGTTCAACGAGACGGTCGTCACCACGCGCAACGTGTCCGTGCCGGTGACGGCGGCGCCCGTGAACGGCAGCGCGACGACCGTCGTGCCCGCGGCGACCACCACGCCCGTGCTGGCGGCCAACGGCACCAACGCCACGGCAGCGCCCGCCACCACGGCCGCGGCGGCGAGCACCTTGCCGCCGGCGACGCAGATCGTCACGCAGACCGTCACCGAGGTGGTCACGCGGAACGTGACGTTCGTGAACCGCGTGCGCGTCAAAGCGTGGGACGTGCGCACGGGCGGGCTCGTGACCCTGCCCGAGCTCCCCGCTGACAACGTCACGCTGGCCATCGACATCGAGGAGAACCCGTTGACGCTCCAGCCGCACGTCTTGATCGCCAACACCACGTCGGTCCGCGTCCTGCGGTACGATCGAAACGCCGTCGTCGGGCGGCAGTGGCTCCCGGCCGTTGGCGGCGAGGACGGCGGGCCCGACCGCTGGGGCCAGCTCTACTCGCTGAGCCTCGGGTGTCCGTCTGGGTCGCAGGACTGCGGCGCGACGGCGGGCCGCCTGGTGTACACCCTCGACCAGCAGCTGATTGCGTGCGTGCGCGAGACCATGGCCGCGCACGCCGGCAAGGTATCGTGCTTCAACCGCCTGCTGTCAGGCTCGTCGTTCTCGGCGCTGCTACGCGACCTCATCGACGTCCCGGGCCTCGCTGCGTGGGACGTGGAGGTTGACCAGGACGGAACCCTCCACGCCATGTACCTGGACGGCAGCGACGACCTGCGGTGGATCCGTGGGTCCACGATCAACGGCAGCGTCATCACGAACGCCACGGTCGTCGCGCGCGGCATCAAGAGCGTCGTGCTGCGCAAGACCAGCGCGGGCGTCGTGTACGGCCTCGCGCACGCGCCGGGCACCACGCCCCTGCTGTTCACCATCCGGCAGCACTTGACGCCTTTCGCGGAGCCGCCGCCGTTCCGCGCGAGCGAGGCCTCGCTCGGGATCGACGCCGCCAGCAACCCCCTGGTCGCCGCCGCGCCGGAGCTCGGTCAGCCGGTGCTGGCGCAGTGGCGTGGCGACTCGTGGCTGGTCCGCGCGGACTCGTTCACGTCGGGCGCTTCGCGGCTGCAGGTCGCGGCCAAGCAGGACGGCGCGATCTACGTGTCGGGCGTGGACCCTCCGTACAACTTCACGTCGACGGTCAAGGAGGTGACCTTCATCCTGCCGTCGACGGCGGGGTGCCCCTGCCCGGGCGCGTTCGACTGCGTGCCGACGTCGGCGAACCTCACCGCGCTCGGAAACGGCAGCTACACCGCGACGATGAACTTCGACCGCACTGGGCCGTCCTCTGTGTTCGTGCTCGGCGCCGAGGCGCCCGCGGCGGCGATGCAGGGCGGTGCGCCGCTGCTGAGCTTCGCGGGCGATCGGCTGGGGGACTACCCGCGCGTCGTGCAGGTGGTCCCGAACGCGTTCGGGGTGGGCACGACCATCGCGCAGGACCCGGCCCTGGTCCCGCGCGTCAACGCCACGCGGCCGCAGTACTTCATCATCGCGCGGGACGACCAGGGCAACCCGCTGCCCTCGGGCGTCAACATCACGGCCATCGGGATCAACTGGGACCCGCTGCCGACGGAGGAGGACAACAACCGGACGCACGGCCGCTTCGCCCTGACGCAGGTGGGGCCCTACGCGGGGCTCTTCAGCGTCGTGTGGGACACGTACCGCTCGGGGAGCTACGACCTGCTGGTGACGGTCGGGGGCCGCAACCTCACGGGCACGTTCCGGCAGTTTGTGCGCGCGAACGAGATCGGCGACGGGACGCGCGTGGAGTACCCGCGCGTGGCCATGGCGGGCTTCCGGCACGAGATTCGCGTGTTCGGCAAGGACGTGTACGGCAACCCGATCGTGCGCGACAATCCCGGCGCGACCCTCGACCTGGGCATCTTCTCGAACGGCGTGCGTCTCGCGCCGTCGGAGATCTCCGCGTCGTTCATCAAGCCGGAGCCCAACTCGCCCGACGCTCTGGCGGGCGTGTCGCTCGCGACCTTCCTCGGGCCGCGCAACGCGTCGCTCACCTACACCATCCGCCTGACGCTGGTCAACCTGCAGCACCCGCTCAACGCCGGCAAGAACGGCACGCTCCTCCTCGACCTCAACGCCACCTACGCGCCCGTGTCGCTCGGGCCCGGGTCCCCGCTCCAGGCGTTCTCGCTGCTCGGCATCCCGGCGTACCCGGACCCTGTACGCAGCACGCTCGAGTTCGGCGCCACGCAGCGCGCGGGCATCGTGACGTTCTCGCTCCTCCCGCGCGACGCCTTCGGCAACCCGTCGTACGTTTCCGAGTGGAACGTGACGGCCGTCCCGACGTTCGTGCCCCAGGAGGCGTACAACAGCGACCCGGCCTACGTGCGCTCGGCCCAGCCGCGCGTCGCGGAGGTGCTCGACGACAAGACGGCGCACAACGGCCCCAGCTTCTGGACGGAGCTGGCGCCCGACCCGTGCCGCGGGCGGGAGGGCCAGCCCGAGCAGTGCGTCTACATGCCAGCGCTGGACAGGATCGGGAACTACCGCATCGAGCTGCGGCTGAACGGGACGCTCGTGACGGTGGTGACCCAGCCGCCCTCGGTGCTCTCGCGGCTGAGCGCGCTCCCGCGCACCGCCGCCGCGGGCCAGAGCGTGATCTCGTTCCTCGAGGGCGTGGACATCTTCGGGAACCGCCTCACGACGGGCGGCGAGGCGAGCCTTCTGGAGGTGACGCTGGTGAACGCCAACGCGCTCGACCTGACCTTCATCGCCAACCTGACGGACGGCGGCGACGGCAACTACTTCATCCAGTTCCAGCTCCCGGACCCGGGGAGCTACATCGTGAGCGTCGTGTTCAAGAACAACCGCCTCGTCGAGGGCCCCCGCAGCGACGTGGGCATCACCACCTTCTCCAGCGCCACGCAGCTGCCACGCCGCTCGCTGGAGATCCTGGGCGAGCTGCCCACGCTCGACTTCTCCGCGACGCTCACGACGCGCCAGGGCGGGCCCGGCGAGTCCGCCATCGACGCCGGCGAGCCGTACAGCATCGTCGTGGCCGCGCGCCGCACGCTGCCCGTCGCAACCTACGCCAACTTGCGCGCCGTGACCACCGTGCGGTTCCAGCGGCCCGGGCAGCCGGGCGACACTGTCGTGCAGCCGATCGACATGGGCCTCCCCAACCCCGACGGGCGGTGGTTCGCGACCGTCAACCACACCTTCAAGGGGCCGCACTCGATCGAGGTGACGGTCGGGGGGCAGCAGGTCCCCGGGTCGCCGTTCGCGGTGCGCGTCGACCCGAAGGCGTACCCGCGCAGCACCCTCAGCGTCGCGC